GCCAAGATATTAAGATGCAAACCAAAGGATACTTAAAGGATTCAAAAGTTTGATTTTCTGTAAGTCTACAACCTTCAAAACCGTTTTTAACCATATAACAACAAATAAAAGTATAGTTTTAGTAACATTGAGGTGTAATAGTATATTACTTAGATTTTTTTTCCTTTGCCTTTCAGAAGCTTTTATTCACTTTGAATTTTACTTCATAAATTAGGAATTTTTTCTATCTCATCAATAAAGGTTGGCGCAATAATAGAATTGAAAAACTTTTATATCACTGTTTATTATTAAATTTTATGGCTAAATGCTTTTGTAATGTATAATAAAGGAAATTGTTTATAAAACAACTTACAGCCATCGGAAAAACAATGTTTTTCGTCCCTAAAAAATTTAAAAATATATGCGATTTTAAGTGAAATTATTAGAACTGTGGTTGAATGAAATCCTTTATAGTATTAACTATCAAAGATTTGAGTAATATTCTTCTTTACTCGATAAAGGATTCATTTTTTTCTGAGTTGCAAAGTCTTCATAATATATAAGTATTTTTTAATACAGTTTGCCTATTGTTTTGTTAATGTTACGATGATATGCTTATAATTATATATGAAACTAGGAAGACGCCTCCATTTTATAAATATTAACTTTATATTTAGTTTAATAAACAAGGTACTTACGAGTCAAAGTATCTCTCTATAGTTGTACGTTAGTAGATTTATTTGTAAATAAAGGAAAAAAATAATTGCTATCGAAATATAGTACTTCTATAATAAAAAATTTTCTAGTTAATTCTCTCTTAATAAGAGTTTCCTATATAAAAACCTAATAATTAAATTTAAGCCTACCGCCTTCGATACTATGACTATTATGTAAGCAACATGTTTTTTGTTATGTTTTGTCCCTCTTTAATTTTTTTTATATCAAGATTTATTAATTTTGATGAAAATATTCTTTGCTGGTCACGTTGTTATCATAAAAATTTAACGTATACTGATAGAAAGTACACTTATAACGGGAAAAATGAAGACTATTACATGCTTTATAAATAAAAGGTAATGCTTAGCAGCCTCAGAGTTCTACTGACCAAAAATATGTTTATACCTGAAAAAAAGTTTAAATAATCCTATACCAATATTCCAGCAGATTCCTGGTAATTCCCGGCAGCCAGTTTCTCAATCCCATGAAATACAAAAAATCAAAAAACTCGAGCCACAACGCCGGTAGTCTCACCTTCGGCCATAATCGCTTCTAATGAGCGTAAGCTGCACCGTATGTAACACTGTTCTTAGCTTAGCCTAGCCTGGTTTTTTAAACAAATCCTACAAATCTTGTCCCCTTCACACCAGTTGGTTTCTAGGAGGACACTCTACAACACAGCAATTTTTAAGGGTCGTAGAGAGCAATAAAAAGCTTTTAATTACAAAAAATCAAGAGTTATGGTATTAGATTTTAACCGGCATGAAGCACATTAATAAATTAATTATATACAAGCTTCCAGAATACCTTATGTGCGTGCTGTATTCGTTCCTTTGCACCCCAGAATCCTTAAAACTGTCTTCCCTCAGGGCTTCTTCCAACAAAGTCTCCTCGGCTTTATATATACTTTAACGAGGCTGCCATCTGTTATAATATGTGAATTCCTATCTTTATACACTCAAGAATGGTTTGCAAAGTGAAAAAATACGGTAAACCCTCCAAAATACTATGCGATCATTTTAAAAAAAGGAAAAAGGGGAAATTTAAAGCTTTAACGCTATAGCAAATGTCTATCCATTGGTGCTGTCAAGTAATACCTTGGCGTTTAATTAGCTTCAGGCATAATTGAAATTTATTAATTTTGTTAAAAAAAAAAGAATATAACCGGTTTTTTATCCTTTTATACGCAAAAGAAGCCTTTGAATCTTGAAAAATAAACTTGTAAAGCTATTTTCAGACTTTAGTTTCACATCTCTCTCACCCCTCGACTTGGCCTTATAAACAGAATTCAGATTTAATCAATCTCCTTAGTATGTTTACAGGCGCACCTTGTTTTGTGCGAAATTCTTAACTCCATGAATGTGAAACTGAATCTTTTTTATTTTACCTTAAACGGAGCGCTACAAAATGTTTTACTCAAGTTGAAGAACACCCAACAGTTTGCTAACTAACTTCTTGTGCTATACCCCTGCACATTTTTCAAATTACAAATGACCTAAACAATCTTTTGGGTATATCTTAGAAAAGCGAGTGTGTAATGACTTTAGAATAATTATCAGAGATGATAATATAATATTATTTAAGATTTTGGTGTAAAAAACGGTAAACGCTCAAATTACAAAGACGTCTCTGTCTTTACGTTATGAGAGAAGGCACGAGAGGTCTTCTTCAATTTGTTAGGGTGGCCTTGTTCCTTAACCTCCTTGTGAGAAAACTTAGATTAAGCAGTTTAAGTCATAGCAATTATAACTACTGTGGTTTGTCAAAACGATATAAATATAAATAAATAAAAGCAATACATATAACTCCTTTATACGTCTATTATGGCGCATGCTCTAGTTTGTTGGTCCCTCTTTGTGCGCCTTAAAAAAAGGCTACAAGGTTTTAAAACAAATCCTTACTGTGATCACAAATCCTTTCGTGGTTTATATGTAATGCCCAGTATCCCCTTGACTTACAGTTATAATCATTTTATAGCTTGTTTCTTAATAGTGGCGAGAATATGATTAAAAGGATACAGTTGACAATATAGTAATTTATTAGCTACTGCTACTAGTTACAATTAAGGCTATATTTTATTTTATTATATCCCTAAAATGGCTGTGCACAAAAGTTTGCCGTTACTTCAAACCTATTTTATTGATCAAACTTATTTATTAGCTATATAAATACCAACCTACATATATATGTATATCAAATTTATACTTTTAAATTTGTTTTTAAAATTACTTTATATATTACTTCTTGGACGGTTCGTAATAGGTTCTACTTCTGCAAACACTATACAAGATTACCAACTTTTTGGCTGCGCACGCGGTTACAAAATACAGAATTTGTAAGGCAAAAATTTATCTACTTGAAGTTAAAAAATTTTTGATAGAAAGAACTAAAAATGTGCAAGGAACCTTTTTAACTTAAAAAAGTTACAACTACTAAATTCATTTTATGCACTACATCTAGAAATTGAACTGTAGAAGATTAAGTTTCTAAGGGATAGTGAATACTTGAGGTATCCTCATAGCAATAATAGCAATCTATAATAATAATTCTTCATACCAATAATAATTATAATAAAAAACACTTTAATAAATAGTAATAGCAGTTAACTTATCATAGTAACCAGAATAACACCACAAAATATACAGAAAACTTGTTTTCTTTTATGTTATCATATAATAATGTTCGGCAGTTTATATAACCTTCATATCAAGTAAGCCAATAGAAATTTCTTTCTAAAAACTGTTAATCTATTACAGAGACCAAGAAAATCTTTATTACAATAAATTAATTTTTTTTTTTGTTAGTGAGCAAAGCAGGAGGTTTACTCTAGGATTTTTTTATAGTAGCTTGAAATTTATATATAACTAAAAATAAAATTTCTGTTATGTGAGATCTGTATTTAGCTGCAGTATTAACAAAATTCTCTTTTGCTGGCTTTTCCTTCCTTTAATAAATTATATCTCTACTTCTTTCTTTTCTAAATTATGACTTTATATAATTTATTCTATTAGAACTATATGCAATATTATACATATAATAAAAAAATAAAATTGAAAACTTATAATTCTATTACTTTAGGTAATAACAGTTCATCTTGAGGAATCACAAATTTTAGAAGCCAACAATACGCCCCTTTTATCCGATATAAAGCGTTGTCTTTTCCATAAGTTCATATTTCTATATCCTATACTTAACGCTTTGCTAAGCTAAGTGAATTCTATTTCTAAAAATTATTTTCTGGGTGGTACGAGTTTGAATATTCATAAGAATTACTCTCAAAAGCGTAACACAGTAAAAGTTCTAATGTTTTCTACTTGAAAGACTGATATATTTGTTTGTCAATTTTCAGTAACACTAAATTTTATATTAATTGCGTTTTTTTCGTATAAAGATAGGTTTTACTCTTAACAATAATAAAACGAGGTAAATAACAAAAAGTGCATGGAAGGAATGAAAGCAACGTTTCCATTTCTGTGCAAGTAAATTTCCACTTAAGAATTTTAGTTTTAACCTTTAAATTCCCTTTCTAAGCATTCTTTATTCCACGTGCGCCTAACCGTTGCAGATATAGCCGATTAAGAGGCCATTATTTCGCGCCAAAATGGCCACGGCTCGTCCTCAGCATTTATTAATTCAGCAGACGCCTTTGCTGGTGTTGATTAGTTTTGGGTAAAAATTAGGGGCGCTAATTTTTTTTGATCTTTAAAAATTTTTTACTTGGGGGAGGTATGTCGTCATTTGCACTATAAAAATAGGGCATAAAACATTTATTATTAGGACATATAGTTTTAATTTTTTGTAGATAATTACTTAAGGTGAAAGAGAGTCCTTTAATTATAAACTTAAGCTACCAATGTCACAAAGAGTGTGTTTTACTCTCATTTTAGCAGACTCTTCTGTCCCATCTTTACAATTATTATGATATACGTCTATTAGTTACTCTACTATCCTTTTTTATATAGACAACAGAAAGCCGCGCTATATGGCCAAAGAACTGTGCCGTATTTCTCAGTTAGCCGAACATTTATATAAACTTATGTTAAAAGACTCCCACTTTAGGCTCCCTTAAAATTCTTTTGAATAATAAAGTAAAAAATTTTATTTTATTTTGTTGACCGTGGTAATATTTTAAAGCTACAAGGGAGTCTTGAAGCAGGCCTACTCCACTATTGGAAGTGCTTTAAGCCAATTCCCCTAAAGTATCGCCGAAAAAAAAGAGAAGTTATATAGATTGAGTATCTGGGGGCGTCTGCGCGGCTCGTCTATACAGACAAAAAAACTTACAAGGAGGAAAGGGTGCACGTTGTTTTATAAACTTTATTTAGCATTGGCCTTTTTTTTATTAGCTATCTCTTTCCTTTTTTCTTCCAGTAAATCTTCTTTTAACTTATGCATAACAAGCTGAAAGGCCGCGAGGGCGTCCTTGGTATAACCAAAATGACTATTAATCTTATAAAAAGTTAAAATTAATTTTTTTATACTTCTTTAGAATCATGACCGAAACTTCCTCGATTCTGTATACTTTTCTTTAAAATTTCTTCAGCGAGATGCTTTAATGACTTTTTTTTAGGCTGTCCTTTTATAAACTTAACTAACTTTTCTTTTTAAAAAATTATTGTTTACCGTGGGGATGAGGGAATAGGATGCTCGTATCAATAACAAGTTCATGGCACATCTGAAAAAGTTTAGTATACATCGAAACGCATCTCCCAACCTACCGCTAACTTTACCTTTAAAGCAAGAAGATCATTTTCCAAAGAGTGACCAACGAGGATTGTATCGGAGAATATAAATTCGAGTAGCTCCCGCTGCACGTCCTCAATCCTCACGGTGACGTTTTCAAGGAGCTCAGAAGTTATGCCGCTGAACTAAAATTTTCTTCAAATTTTTATTATAGATAAGAAATTGCGTATATATTACTTCTGTGTTGTAGTCAATAATTTCTTCTGCAGGAAGCACCAACTTATCGTACACTAAATTTTCAAACTCATCCAGAATCGTAATACGAGCGAGCTCACTGCCTTTACGGGTGTAGCACTTAAAATTATAATATTCCGTAAGTGTGCTACTTTTATAAATTAGAGGGAAAAAGTTAGGAAAACCATTTCGCAATCGAGGGCAAAAACTCTGCAGGCACCTGCTTATATATATAAAAAACAAACATAATCTAAAATAAAAAAGTACGCAACCTTCTTGTTTCTCTAGAAGCCTCTTCTCGGTACATACAAATTCAGAGTAATCCGGATTGCTGTTTTCCCACACATGATAGTTTGAAAACCGGCATCCCTTCATATCCTGCACTAAGAAAATACTAAAAATAATAGTAATAATGCAAATACTGCTAACACTACAATAATACCAATAAGGTGCTAGTTGAAGCTACTCTTCTCTATATTTTTTTTAGTAAGCACTTAATATTTTTTCCTTATAACGTGATATATTTTTATTAATCTTCTGAAATTTGTCTTAATAACGTATAGCTGTAGCTTTTCACAGCCATACTTCTAAATCTTTACTCAATGACAGAAAAAAATTTACCAGCGCAGCAACAAGCATAACGAAATTCACGGATGCCTTTTAGTTTATCTATGGGTATATAAACAAATAATTAAAATATACCTTATAATAAAAGTGAGATAATTGGCTAAATTTATAACTCTATGTAAAAGTTCTAATTATAGTTTATGAATTGAAGTAAAATAGTAAAAAATTTCGAATTATAAAAACAAATTTTAAAAAAAAAATTTTATAAATTTGGCATTTTTAATGTATTTGTTTTATTAAAATACCTAATAGATAGTTTTTAGAATTTATATATTAAATAAAAAAATTAAAGAGTCTGTAAATATTTATTTCAACTTAAATTAAGAAAAAGTATACGTAGAAACAAAAAATTTATAATTAAACAATATGAAAAAGCTTGTTTAAGCAGTCTTAATTTACAAATAAATGCAAACTAAAATTTACTTCATAAGGCAGCATAACAAGGACGATTCATACAAGAGTAGAGCAAGTTCTTTTTAAAGGTTAACAAGTAGCATATGTACGTATATACAGAAAGTTAACTAAAGTCAATCAACTTAACCTTAACCCTAACTCCAAAAAACCTTAATTAAGTAGCCCAAAAACGTAAATTGAAAGAAAAGTTTTACTATCAAACACATTATGCAAGCTAATAAGAAATATTTAAATCAGGAATAAAGAAAACCTAATTAAAAAAAAAAAGTTTTTACTAAGGAGACCTCGTTTAAAGTACAGCGGGCCAGGATGGTATAAACAACTTTGGGAGACCTCGGCATAGCTGAAGGTTTTGTGACAACGAGAGCAATCTCGAGGCTCTTTCGAAAAGAGATTTTCAGTAGATTCCTTATCTGAATATTTTATAATAATTTATTAACATTTTTAAAAATTAATAACTAATTATTGCCCATGAATTCGATTCTAGATTTTTCTTTCTCACTTTTGAGAGCAAGACGCCTTTTTATATAAGTGGGGAAATTATTATCCTCAAGCTGTTCGGCCGTGAGAACGTAGTTTAAGAATCGATTATAAACCGACTTTGTGCGCACTTTTTTGCTAGTTGGCAAATCTAAAGTTTATAACATGACCATTATTGACTCAAATAATTCTCTAATAAAACACATGAAATAGAGAGAGACTCGCGGAAATTTCGGATTTAGACAATTCCTCAAACAAGGTAGAGGCCAATAGATTATAATTATATCGTGAAGATTTATTGTATATCTTTAACTCTTTTTCCAAAGCTAGTTGATAAATTTTTTGTACATCTAGAAAAGCATAAATTAAGCAAGCGTAATAGTTATAGAAAAAAACGGTGAAATAATATTAAATATTATGTGTAAAACGAGTTACCATAGCAAGGATTTTGTTTTTTTAAAATTTCAATAATTTTTTCGTAACATTTCTGTCTTACACCATACTTAACTTTGCTTCCTGAGATGAGTGATACTTGCGGTTTTATGGATATTGAAGAAGTAAAAACAGGCAAAGTGGGAGATTTTAAAGGTGAAAGAGTTGAGTGGCTATTAATAATTTTTGAACAACCATAGTTATTATAATTTTCGGTATTATAACTTGTAATTATATTAGTAACAGGATTATTATTATTATTACTACTAATATCAACACGATTGTTACTATCTGTTTCACTATTGCTGTTAGTACTAGCTGTTATAATATTGTCAGTACATATATCTATATCATTATTGATAAGGTTATTACTTATTTTATTATCATTAATGCTGTAATTATTATCATCGTTATTGCTAATAACTATATTATTGCTTGTAGTACTAGCAATAAGTTTACTATTACTACTGTTATTAATATTATTACAATCAATATTATTATCTAAGTTATTATTTTTGTTATTTACTATATTGCTGTCATCATTATCATCATTATTGTTATCGTTATTATTATTATTATCGCTTTCCAAAGTTTGGGTAAGAAATGGCAAAGTTGTTTTAGAGAGGGGGGTCGGTGAAAGAGGCGGAGGACACTCGTTCTTAGAAGAAATTTTCAATTTTTTTTTACTATTAGAATTTTCGAAGGTGGTAAGGTGCGAAAACTGACATAGCGGACGATCACAGAGACCGTGAAGATGGTACGGACAATCGATGTGCTTAAAAAGAGATAGAGGAGTAAACATGAAAGCTGCACTGCGCAACTAAGCATTACCAGGACTTGATCTTTGGAGGTTGACAGATAGTCGAATTTAACCATTGGTTGTCAAAATATTTTAGTATTTTTTCTGTCAGTTTTAGACCCTGTAGAAAACATTTTTAAGAGTTTTTTAATATCGAATTATTCTAAACGTTTATGATATGGAACGTGTAAGTATCTGGTGTTACGTTTAGAAAGGTTAATAATATTTTTTGCCAAGTGGGCCTGCCTACGTACGTGTTTGGGTTTTTTCTTTTTGATATTTTGTAACAACTGAGCAGCTTTCTTCATTAAAAATTTTTTTTTGGCTCAGTTCACTGACTTAGATGTAATGTATAAATTTGCTTTAAAAAATTATTATACTGATTTATGGTCACTAGAATAATAAGAAACTTATTTTATTAAATAATCTTTATTATTAATTTAAAGATATAAACGTATATAAGCCCTTAATCAACAAAGAAACTTTAATAAAATAGCAACATCATGTATTTAATGATCTATTAACTCTAGTCATTAGAAAATGGAATCCCCGTTTTTAATATATTGAATAAAGTCTGGGGAAGATAAATTTTATTGTATACTGCTATCTCAGTTATTAGAAACTTTTTTCACAAATCAAGCCAGTAGCTAATTACAGTTTACCTCTATGTACTTTTTCAGTTTGGGTCATTAAATTTATCTTTGCCTCTCTAAATGTCCCCTCTTTAAACGCAAAATCGCTAACATCCGTTTATAATATTAGCTAGAAATCATCATTTACATTTTTCCGCCCTTAATTGTTAAATGTAGTCTTACTAACATTTATTCTTAAACAACTACTTACTAGGATGATCACCTTAGAGATTATCAATGCCCTTTAACGTTCTAGCCAGATTTAGTGAACTATAAAATAAAGAACAATTTTATAAAAAATAAGTGTGATTTAATTATTTCAGAAGAAACAGGGTGGAAGCGACCTATATAATACGTGAAGATGGGACTTAATATGATATTTAAGTGTTAGGTAGCCCACTAAATGGTCTTAGGCGGATATAAGCCAAAATAATTCTGTGAAAACCCCTAAAAATATACTTGGGGACCTCCATCGATGTAGAGGCGAAGTCATAGCGGGGGTTGAAGTCTGTATTTTTTACATTATGCCAAAAAAAAGCGAACTCTCCTTCCGCCACAAGCGACAGCTACATGTATTGTGTATGCAATGCTATTCGAATCTGCTGCCTGCGACTACTATTCGCCGGCAATAGCGTAAGCGTTTAAATTGTAATAAAACAATTGCTACGCGTCATAATGGGATCGTCGCGGTTTGTTCCTAGCAATGCTTTACATAAAGACCTCCAGCTTGAGTTCAACGCAATGCTATCACTACTCTAAGAACACCAATCAATTACCGTTAAAAGGCTCAGTTACTAAACATAAAACCGCGCACGCGGTAGCCTCATGAATTTTTGTTGTATTTATGATAAAGGTGAGGCCTGAAGGTAAATGTGTATGCATGCTTAAGCATTTGCTATTCAGCGCCCTAAATACAGAGTGCTGGGATTCCGAGAATGAGTAAGATCTATTTCTAAAGTAGTATGTAAAAGGATGAAAAAAGTATTGGAAGTGGTGGATGTTATTTAACTTCCTCGTTAAAAAATTAAAGAAGAAAGAGAAATACCTATTTGATTGCTTTAACTTAAACTTAAATCTTAGTTGTTGCGTTTACACTTCGAATGCTCGAAAATTCGGTTAATGAACCCGATCGAGCTCCAGGAGAGACCAAGGTTTACAAATAAAGTGTTCCAAAATTAGTGATTTATAAATTTTTTGTTCATTGTCATTTTTGTGCTCTAAGAAATGTTATTAAATAGTTTGAAATGTCCTCTATTCCCCATTTAAGAAAAGCCTACTTGAAAAGGATTAGGAAGAAGTGTAGGCGTTTGTATAAGAAACCATGTTACGGTGTTTTAATTATTTATATAGTTAATAGCTTACTAACTTTTTTTATGTTGCGCTAAGAACAAAGAGTTTGGCTTAAAGACTTCGATAACTTAGACGTTAGGGATAAAATCAGTTTTATACACGAATTATTATTCAGGTAACTAGAACATTAAAATATTAAGGACGTACCTTGTTTATTTTTCACAATAATTTTCGAAATGTCATTGAAGTGTTTAAATTTAGATGTGATTCAGAAAGTCTTAAGGTCATTAATACCACTCTAAGTAATTTACGAAAAGTTGATTTCATTTCTGAGCTTCCCAAAGATCTTGCTCTCTTCCTAATTTCCAAGTTGGAGGTAAAATCTTTAATTTACAGTTCTCAAGTGAATCATTTGTGGGCAGCATTAACTAACTGTGAATGGTATCTTTCAGCTTTACAGATATGACTAGATTTTAATGTATATTCACCTAAATAAAGGGTTTGGAAATCTGCTTATGAAAAATTAATTTCAGAAAACGGTGGGGGGCTACCCATTCAGACTAAACTTACTAACGTAAATAGTTCTTATTCATTTATGGAAAAGCTTTTTATCCTTTATAATTCCACATAGAATTCTTGGAAAACCTTGTGCGTTCAAGAATACGCAATTATTACCAATTGGTACTCCAAAAGATTTCTTACCCGCGAGTTATTGGGACATAGGTCTTATTAATAGTAGACTAGTAAAAAAAATTAATAAACACGCACTAATCCTAGAGAAGAAATTATAACATACATAAAGCTTGATGGAAACCGAATCATCAGCGGTTCTGTGGATTTCACCATAAAAGTACGGAAATGTCGAGCTTATTTGTTACACAACTAAAGGATTTTAATCTTTTAGATTTGGTCAACTGAGACTGGAGAATTAATTCACAATTTAGAAGGCCATACGGGTGGAGTTTGGAGCTGCTACGTGGAAGGGAATTTAGTAATTAGTGGTGGGACCGACCAAACAATTAGAGTAAAAAATTACGATTATTATATCGATTAATTTTTTCTTTGAGCTTAAATATTTTTAGATTTGGGACGCTCAGGAAGGAAGATGTTTACACGTACTGTATGGACACACATCTACTGTCCGGTGCTTGGATGCCTCAGGCGACATGCTGGTGAGTGGGGGTCGGGACCACACCGTACGAGTGTGGAATATACTAAGCGGAGAGTGTTTGCTTCTGCTCAGGTATACCAATAAAAATTTCCCCTCCAGATTATGTAATGATCTAAATTAGAGGACACACACAATCCGTCCGATGCGTTCAGTTTGACGGGAAGATAGTAGTAAGCGGCTCTTATGACCACACTCTTCGCGTTTGGGATCCAGTCAGTGGCCGCTGCTTGCATGTGCTGACTGGGCATACTAATAGGGTCTACTCTTTACAGTACTTAATATATATATTTATATTGAATACTTTTTTTTTTAAGTTGTGATTATGAAATGTAGAATGAAAGGATCGACGATTGTATCGGGGTCGCAGGATACTACAATCCGAGTTTGGTGCGCGGAGACGGGGAAGTGCTTAAGCGTGCTTTCCGGGCATTCTTCTCTGGTGGGGCTGTTGCAACTCAGAGGAAATCTTCTGCTCTCCGGGAATGCAGACAAGTCGCTGCGCCTTTGGGACGTCAAAACAGGTACTCCTAATGTCTCTCTTTCTTATTTCAAGCATACAAACGTGGAACAGGCCAAACCCTGCATGTCCTCAATGGCCATGAGAATGCAATCACGTGTTTATGGTTCGACAACGTTAAAATAGTGAGCGGCGCAATGGACGGATCTTTACGGCTGTGGAGCGTGAAAACAGGCATTTCATGCGCTCTTGAGCTCCACGCGCACTCCTAACCAAGCATGCTTCTTTCTTTTTACCAGGAGAATGTTATGGCAAACTGCTCCAGCTGGAGGGAGGAGGCATCATATGGAGGGTCGCGTGTTCGCACAGCCAAATTGTGGTCGGTGCAAGTGCCAACAACGAGGCATCACTGCGTATTCTGGACTTCGCTATTTCCCCTAAAAAGTTAGCAGAGCTAAAAAGGGGGAAATGATATCTCCTTTATTCTGCGCTTCTTCAATAAAGACCGACCTCTACCTGCAATGTTTACTTAAACTTCTTCGATGTCATCGTCCACTAGAAATAAGACTCTGCTGGCCCTGCGCTGGCTTTGTGCCCTTTTGAGGGGGTAAACCGTACTGGCGGGCTCGCTCTCGGATTCGTGGCATTCCGAACACCAAGACTTCGAGAAGGAGGTCAACTTACGAAAGTGCTCAGAAACTGCGCAAATTCAGAAAGAATGCTAAATGATGAAGTAGCTGCACAAGCAAGCGGACTACCCGGAGCACGTGAAAGCAAGCCGCCGAAAGGGGCAAGCTCAGTGAAGAGCTGTTTCTTGCGCAGAACAGCATCTGATAAACACAAAATAAAAACTTAGTAAAGTTTACTCGTTACGCAGACATATGATAGCACAAACTCGAATTTTCTGAAAAAGAATATTGCCACGTGTCAAGGATGAGCATGTGATTTTCGACAGCCTTCCGCGTGCTCTCGTACCTAGTCATGCACCAAAACATTTGTGGAAACAGGAAAGAGGCCCAATTAATAAACTGTACCAGGCAGGTGGTCGGACGGTGACCCATCCGCGGGGCCTTCCAGACGTTCTATTTGCAAACAGCGTCCCTCTCATGGCCACCTCAAGAGATATAAGTCGCGAAAAGCTGTGCTAGCGGGTTAATTATTAGCCAGTGAAAAAGAGCGATGCCACTAACAATAACCTGCCATTGGACGAGCATATCCGCGTGGCTCAAGTAATCAGCCGCTTTGCACAGGGACTCGATGTCGTCCGAAAAGTTGCACATATTTTCATGCAAGTGCAAGCAGAGGTTCTCCGGGGACGCACTCATATTTCTCAGCGCCTCCTTTATATTAAATTACTTTCATAAAAAGCGGTTTATTATAAAAAAAAATTGCGAGAACATCGATGTCCAACTTCAGCGGGTTGCGTGCCAATTCGGGTCGCAAAAAGAAGGAAACTGGAGGTTCGCTGGGTTCTATTCCTGCAGTTATTTATAGACATGACAGTAAAGATATTTATAAAACCGTATTATTTTATGAGATAAACAAAAAAAAGCTAAAAAGGGGCACGTGATATAGAAAAGCTGCTTTAAAAATTACTTTTAGTACAATAACTGCCAACTTAAAAGATTTTAAGAATGAAAAATTAAAAAGTAATTAAAGATGCCTAAAAACTTTTTTTTTAAATGTAGAAAAGAAAGATGTAATTTTCTCCAAGCTACTTTTATATAAAATATTTCTAAAGTAAAAAAAAGGTTACGTTTAGCGTGAAGTATCGAGCCCAAAAGCTGATAAAGCGTTTTATTTAAAGTCCTTCCACTGTTATGAAATTAAGAAACATGGACGTTATTAAATTTAAAATTCAAGTTGTAAAAAAAACCAAAAAGCGAGACTTTGACGAGAATCTTCTAGCTCGGCATTCAAATTTTTGCCTACATTCAAAATTTTAATTTAAATAAAATTTTTTAGAGCAAGTCAATTTTGAAATTTATAGAGAATTCAAAATAAGGATCGCACTTAACTATAACGCTTAAGAAAAAAAATTTAATTATAATTTAGAAAAAAAAGTTTATTTATACAAAATTATATATAAATAAAATCTTTTTTCTATTATTTAAATTTTCATATTATATAATTTTTTAATATAATATTTAAATTAGTATTAATAATTTAATATTTATTTTTAAAATTTTTATAATACTTCCCCGTTACTAAATTATAATTTTTAATTTTTTCTTTAAAGTATAAATTTTATTTGAATAAATAACTTTCTTTAAGTCTATTTTGATTTTTTATTATTCTATAACTTTTAAAATTCTCAAATTATTAATATTTTATATTTATTTATTAATAACAAAAATATAGTACAATGTACTAAAGGATCTTAAATTTTTTTTAAAAAAAATTAACCCATTTAATTAACATATCAAATTAACGTACAGTTTTATTCGTATTGAGCCAAAAAAAATAAACGCGTAAACGTCCGAATAGCTGAAATAAATTTTATAATAAAATTTACCGATCAGTAAAAACTGAAGAGTGGCAAACGCAGCTCGAACATCGCCGAACATAGAAAGTTCATCCAAAAGATCGACGGGGATTTTTAGATTATAATCTTTACCAAAACTCCTTAACGTTTTTTTCAGTACAGTCTTGGAAACAGGATTAAATCTAATTTAAATTCACGGATTCAAAAAATTAAAAAATAATTAGAAACTTAATTGCTAAATAAAAAGTAATTATAAAGTAAATAGTGAAAGTAGAATCAAAACAGAAAACCTAACTTCAACGACCATCCTAGTAGTCCGCCAGGTAAGTGGAAACATTTTATAAAGATCTGATTGAGAAAATACACCGTCGCTGATTATAAAAATTAAAGGATGCGAGGATGACCTAAAAAGTTTTGTAGAAAGTTACTGTGAAATTAAAAAATTAGTAAAATTAAATTTTAAACAATATTGCAGCAACTATGTAACAAAAAATTAAAACAAAATTTACTTAATAAAATTAAAAACACTCGTTCGGAAACGTTCAAAGCAATTCTCAAAATGAAGAGTTGGGAAATCATCGAACAATAAAATTTTAAGAGTCTAAAATCAAAAAAGTTTACCTTAAAATTTTAAAAAGACAAATATTAAAAGTTAATTACTAAAAGATTTTCGTCATCTTTCACGAGAGATGAAAATCGTTCGTGAGATTTTAAAAATTCAGCAAAGCAGGCAAGTGAAGAGCGAAAAGCTTTAAAAATTAAGTTTTACTAAACAACAGAAATCTGGCAACTTTTAAAAATTAAATAAAAAATATGACATTAACTCCCTTTCTGTATGTATACAAATTAATTTTCAATAAATAATACAATCAAACGTGTTTAACGATAATAAAAATATTTTTATTAATTAAGTAAACATAATTATTTATATAAACTTTAAAATTTTATAGGAAAGTAACTTCACCAAATTCGCGATCTGAAGAATTGATTTTTTTACTACTAAGCTGAACCGCATGAGTAAAGCTACACACTTCAATAGAGAGTTGGGAAGCTAAAGCTTTAATCAGAGTAGACTTTCCGCCGCCAGGAGGGCCGCTCAACCAAAGAAATTCCTTTTTTTCCTTTGTTTTATATATGTTTTCAAACAAAATATTTATGGTTCAATATAGTTATTTCTGACTTGTTTTTTCTTCATTTTCTCAAGTAGCCATTCACGAACAAAATCAACTTTTTTTTTTGTAACAACAATAGAATCCTCAAATTTTATAGTTTAGTATAAATTATTTGATTAAATTATGTTCGTAAACGGAACTTACCAGCTTGGGTATATAAACATCATACCAAAGTTTCTCCGTTAACATAGAGTAACTATCTAATAGTCGAAGAAAAGAATTATTTTTATTTCGAAGAGTTGAAGAAGAAATAGAGTGTTCATTTATTAGATCGCCTTCATGACTGATAGACTCTGATTGAAGTAATCCTTGATCCTGTATAATTACAAAAGATGCTCTTTTAAAAAAAACCATATACAGTCAGATTTATTCTATTAAAAAGGTATAGGGCAACTTAGCACCTCCAGAGGGCGGTATAATCTTTTTGTTTTTAGAAACTTCATTACTTTCTAATGTGAATATCTAGAAAAAAGTTTTTTAACGATAGCTGGTAGACTTGCCCCAGTCCATTTTTCTAACGTAACAATAATACCGCATTTCCTGCTTTCCTGCTCGTGCTCGAGAGTTTGTGGATGAAATATTATGAAATGCATAACCTTAACAGATCGCGCAAAGCTGGATGGGTGAATACTGGGAAGTGGCGTAAAGTTATGTTTCTTGTTCACTTGAATATAGAGTTTTAACAACATATTCTTATAATGAAAACTTGTTTATCACAAGAAAGGTTGGGAGAAAAAGTACGCGAGTATGAATAAAATCTTTTCGATGAAGGAATGCTCGTTTAAGTCTGTCAATTTTTTTAACCTGCATTTTAATATACATTTAACGGTTAATTATTATCATTTCAGCATTTATACATTTAAAAATTGCAGTAAAGTATTAATTATCATCTTCAACCATAAACCCTAATTAGCAGCTTTACACTACGGTACCACCCGTTGTTTAAATTAACTGGCGTTGCACTTTTAAAAATTGCATTTCCGAGTTGTGGTTTTAGGTTCGTATACTTAGTAGTTAATAATAGTATTGTGTACTCGATTTCAATTAAAATTTTTAAATATATTGAAGTACTACGATTAAGTTAGAGTACTGATGTGTTATTATGATTCTCTTATTGTTCAAAGTAAACTCTTAAAATTTCTTGAAAGTATATACTGGGAAATTTTTGCTTTTAAACTATTTTACTATATTAACTAAAAGTGATTGTGGCGAGCCATGGTCAGCCTATATATAGAATATACTGGTAAATATCACTTTTTTCATCTCTATTGTATCGACACTGATTTAGAGTCGAGCACCGAATGCTAGAAGCACCAGTTCAGTCAATCGGGCTTTTAGTACAAAGCTCTTTATTTATCTTAACTCTATGCCTATTTTTATTTTGTGACTGTTTTAGCGGCCCAGGATTTAGGCATTCTAAAGGTTTTTTTTTTTCGCCATGGTTTCGTCCGCAACTAATCACTCGGATAGCGGAGGGTTTCTACAGAAATTAGCACGGTCTACCAAGGTTTCAGCCAAGGATTCCAAGATCATTCTAGGCAGATTACGTTTAAAATTGCTTCGAAAGGCAATGCCAGTATATATAGCGTAAGATTCTCTTTTTAGAGTTAAAGTTAAAGTTTAAGGTTTGGAGGAGGTTCTTTCACCTTGAAAGAGTATAAGACTCTTTTTGAGTGAACTCGAATGAGCAAAGTATGACTCGAGTTTTAAGGTCAACTTTAGTAGAACAAAATAACAACTAAAAACCTAGAATGTTAGCTAATTAAAATGTTCTACCAAAGTAGAACTAAAAAAGTAAAATAAGTAGGTTAAATCCTCTTAACCGCTTGGATCCCAGGTAAAGCAGGCATTTTCCCTTTGGGACGACAGGTAAATTGTGTAGCAAAGGGTCTAATAGCGTAATAAGGATTTAACCTACTTATTTTACTTTTTTAGTTCTACTTTGGTAGAACATTTTAATTAGCTAACATTCTAGGTTTTTAGTTGTTATTTTGTTCTACTAAAGTTGACCTTAAAACTCGAGTCATACTTTGCTCATTCGAGTTCACTCAAAAAGAGTCTTATACTCTTTCAAGGTGAAAGAACCTCCTCCAAACCTTAAACTTTAACTTTAACTCTAAAAAGAGAATCTTACGCTATATATACTGGCATTGCCTTTCGAAGCAATTTTAAACGTAATCTGCCTAGAATGATCTTGGAATCCTTGGCTGAAACCTTGGTAGACCGTGCTAATTTCTGTAGAAACCCTCCGCTATCCGAGTGATTAGTTGCGGACGAAACCATGGCGAAAAAAAAAAACCTTTAGAATGCCTAAATCCTGGGCCGCTAAAACAGTCACAAAATAAAAATAGGCATAGAGTTAAGATAAATAAAGAGCTTTGTACTAAAAGCCCGATTGACTGAACTGGTGCTTCTAGCATTCGGTGCTCGACTCTAAATCAGTGTCGATACAATAGAGATGAAAAAAGTGATATTTACCAGTATATTCTATATATAGGCTGATATCCCTTGACTTGTTTGAAAATTTTTTAAATGGAGTCGGTGGGTTCATACAATGTAATAGCAGCTTACATTGTAACCAAGAAAGCTCTAGCTTGATATATGAAAGTCCGCAGTTGTTTCATTCTTTAATCCGGTCGGACGTTCATTTATATATACAAATTGGAATCCCTTCCTGGCCCGAGCCTTATAAAAAAAAACATTCAGCTTTCTTTATGTTACTTTTATTTAGGTTATCTGTCGTAGAAGTAACTTCTAAAATCTTAATAGTTAATTAGCCTTGCAACTGGTTTATATCATAAGAGCAGGCCCTTTATTTACTTTGTTTTTACCTAAATTAATTGAAGTGACTCTCACCCCCGCCAAAGAAGTTGTCGTCTAACTTTTATAAGAAAAAGAATTGTTAAAAATATGAGCTTTAAAAAACTTCTTTTGATCCTTTAAGCTCCCCACCTAAAGTTTTGAAAGAAGAGTAAGCTACCTTTAGCTAGTTCAAAATCTACTTTAGTTATATTAGTTATTTTGCCTCCTATTAAGTATTTAGACTACCTGCATAGAGAGCTTTACAGACATGAACTTTTATTGTTTTCTCTTTTAAACAATATAAATGTTAAAATTTTTCGCATAAAGAAAAAATTTATGTTAATATACAGGAAAGTCAGATACCAATTCGTAAATCTGTTGCTAAACCGAGCAAGTAAAAGTTCATTTAGTATTTGAACAGTCTCAGCAAGCAGATGAGGGCAAAGGCTGCTTTAGTAGCCTTCAAAGACGCGAAGTACTAAGCCAAGGCAAAATTGTGGGTTGACATCTACTTCTCATCTTTTTGTATTATATCACAACTTAGAAGTCGTAAGTTTATTAATATGTAATTCTAATAAGAATTATGGCACGAGATTATAAAAGTAAAGAAGAAGAAGCGATAGATCTTGTGGAAGCCGCTGAAAAAAAACTAAAGTCTTCCGGGTTTTTTTCATTTTTTTCAGGTTCAAGCAAAGAAGCCGAGGCTAGAGATCTTTACAATCAAGCAGCTATATGCTTTAAGATGGTTAAAAACTGGAAAGGTGGAGATCAATCATCAAGAATATTTAAATAAAAAACTTTTTTTTTACTCTATTCATAATTCAAAATATTTATTTGCCTTAACTAGGTGTTGGTGATTGCTACTCTAAAGCGGCAACTTTGGCACCCACAAACTCGGAAAGGGCTTTAGATTTCAAAGAGGCCGCTACTGCTTATAAAAAAGTAGATCCCAACGGTATTCTTATTATTAACAAACTTAATATAAACTTTGCAAAGTTTCACCCACTTTGAATTTTAATGATTAACTAGAAGATTATAATATTTATATTTATCAATAAAGTAAAACTTTTATATAATTTTTTAATAGTTTTTAATTATAATTTGTACTACTTTTTTTTTAAGTTATTTTAATAAGCTCTTATGTTTGATAATTAGCTGCGCTTCATTGTTTAAGTCAAAGTATTAGCCTTCTCACCGATTTGGGTCGCTTTCGGGAGGCCGCTAAGGTCTTTGTGTGCTTAATTTTTTATAAAAATAGTTATTTTTGCTTTTTTATTATAATTACGAGTAATTTATAAAATTTTCTTTATTCCGTTTGTTTACTGCTAAGTGAGTTGTTTATTAAATCTAGTTCTATTGTTAAGCTCCTTTTTAACTAATTATATTTAAAAAGTTCTACTTGGTTTTATTAAATTTAAAATATTCTATAATAATGAAATTTATTGTTTTTTCTGTCACAAAAACTTTTTTTTATATTATTTCTATTAAGTTGGTTATATATAGTAACGGTTGTAAAATTATAAGTGAGCAATAATCAGTTTACTTGTAATTTTTTAATATACTTCAGAATTTTACAAGAATAATTCAGTTTTTGTTCATACCTTTACCTATTTTCTATATTTTCTTATATAAAGTTTGGATAGTTTTAATTATTTTCTACGAAATATTCTACAGAAGTTTTTAATTATTTCAATTTAATAAATTTAAAATCTTCGAAAAAATTAACACTCAAATCATATAATTTCAGCGCCCAAGTTATTATTTTCCTTCTGAAGCTATTTTTATTAGAGACAAATAGAAGTTGCACAAATTTACGAAGAGCAATTAATTGATCTTCCCAAAGCGATTTCTGCTTATAGTGATGCGGCGGACTGGTTTTCTACGGACGGAAACTGCCCGTTATTATTATTAATATATATATATATTATAAATCTATAAGAAAAAATTATAAATTTTCAAAGCTTTAGAAAATTGTGATTATAAATGGTCTTTTATATTTTAAATAAAAGAAGCGTGGTTATAAGTAATTTTATTATAGAAAGTTATATATATTTACTATTAAATATTAAATATATTTAAAGAGTCAGTAAATAGTTTTGGTTATAAATATTTACTTCCTTTTTTATATGTTTAAAATAAGAAATTTACTATTTTTTATAAAAATAATTTAACTTAGGAAGTTTTTACTTAAAACTTTATATAAATTTTTAAATAATATTATACAAATTCTAATTATGAAGAGATAATTAAGTCATTTATTATATTTTTCTTATTAAATTTATTAAGTTATTTCATTAGTATAAATTAAGTTATAAAGGTATACATTAAGTTATAAATAAATACAAGATTTTTGAAATCAATTTCGTAAATTTTCTATAAATCTTTTATAATCTGGGAAAATAAAAAAATATAATTTTGATTGTATATCTTTATTTATTTTTAATGTTTTGTTTAGTTTAATTTTTATATTTTGAGTAAAAGGTGATAATTATGTTTTTGTCATTTATTATAAATTTCTAGATGTATAAAAATTGTAATAAAAGAAAAATAGAATCCCCTTAATATAAAAATATAATATATATTTATTAAAATATAACAGAAATAAGAATAAAAACTTTTTATTATATAATAATATTATCTGTATAAAAATTTAGTGATAAAATCATAATAGTGATAAGTAAAGTATAGTTTTCCAAGGTGCATTTTTACTATTTTCGCTGTTCTTTTTATTATTATAAATAATATAAACTTTAAAAGAGTTTATATTTATTTATTGGGTTATCTTGAAGATGAAAATAAAAATTTATTATTATTAACAACAGAAAAAAAACTGTTTCATAAGGTTTAATATATTTTGTCATAGTTTAGAAAAAATATAAAAGATTTCAATAATAATAATAATAATAATAATAATAATAATAATAATAATAATAATAATAATAAAAGTATTTTTGTTTTTATGGTTAAATTGAAAAGAAACTTTTAGAAAAATAAAAAATATAAAAAAATTATGGAATAAAACTGGAAAAGCGAGTTCTATAATAGTTCCGGTATAATTATCCACAAAACTTAATTATCATAATAAATAAAAAAACTGAATTTTTTTTGTAGAGTTTCTTTTTTATATTTTCTGTTAGTTTTTTAAAAAAAAAATTTTTTTAATTATAGAAAAACTTAAATTAATAATAAAATTTAAATTATTTTATAAATTTATTATTTATAATAAAAATATCGTACTTACAAGTTTATTATTTTTTGTTGTTGTTAATACTTCTATTACTATTACTATTTTTATTTTTATTATATTTATTTATTATTATTATTATCATTTATTGTTGTTTACAGTTCTGAAGAAAGAAAAGCTCTTATCAAAGTCGCCCACTTTTCTGCTCAACTGGAAGACTATACTCGAGCGATTAACCTTTTTACCAAGATCGGCTCGGAATCCAGCGAGAATCCTCTACTACGTTTCGGTTATTATTATATAATTATTATTATATCAATTATTATTTTTCGTATACTTTTATTATATGAATAATACTTTTATACTTTTTTATATATTATAATTGTAGATATTAAAAGTTATCATTTTTTTCAGTGGCAAAGTTTTTTATATCCTTCTTTGTTCTAATCGCAACTGCAAAATTTGTCATTACTTATTACTACTATTTGTATTTACTTATTTATATTTATTATTTTTGTTAATAATAATTGTTTTTTTTGATATATAAAATATTTTTTTATGGAAGTGTTAATAAAAATTTTATATTTTTATAATATTTTTAAATAGTTGATATTTATTAAGTCTCTATGCAGGTTTACCTCAAAGATTCTATGTATACAAAATATATAAAAACGTAAATGTAATTATTTATATAAAATACAACAAAATTTTAAATAATTCTTGTATTTTCAGTAGAAATTTTTATTAATTAAAATTAAAATTCCTATTTTTTTATTATAATTTTTTTAAAAGTTTTATAAATATTTTTTTTTTTAAAATTTACTAAACAATAATCACTTTATATATAATTGAATTTTTTTAATTTATTATAACAAAAAATAAAGATTTGTTATATTATTATTAAAGTAAATACTAATGTAAATTTGTTTTTATTAATATTATAATTTTTTTTTCCCGTTTACTATATAATTTTCATTAAAATATTATTATTAGTATATTTAAAAATGTTTTTTATTTTTACATGAATGATTACTTCAAAACCTTTTTTTTTGGTTATACTCTAAATTTTTATGTAATTGTATTATAATTAAATTTATATAAAAATAATTTTTTTATTTTACTTTTATATATTTTAAGCATTTTTTATTTGTTTTTTTTTTAAAATTAGTATAGTAATCTTTTATCAAAGTTTTTTTTTGCTTTTATTAAATTATTATTTTACAATAATTTTATCTATTAAATAGAATACTTTAAAGATTTTATTTATCATTTGCATATTTAAATTTATTTATAGTGAATTTAAAATTTTTAAATTATTTAGTAGAAAAAAATATTTTAAGTTTTTTATTATTTATAATTACTCAAAAGATTTTACATTTATTAATATAAAAATTACATATTTTTAAAGTAAATTTTTGTAAATTTTTTTTACTTTATTAAACTTTTTAAAATTTTTGTAGAACTTTTTTAACATTTTTATTTTCATAACGATTATAACTATTTTTATATAATTTTAATTTTTATTTATTTATTTTATTGATAAAATTTTTTTATTAATGCATTTATATTAATATTTTTTTATTATATATAAAAACAATTACTTTTTATTATTTTCCTAAGCTTTTTATATATTTTTATAATATATAACTTTTCTTATTATTGAGGTGCAAGAGAATATTTCTTAAAAGCTGGGCTCTGCCATATATGCACACAGGCACTTTTTTATTACTATTTTTAATTAATAATAGTAATATATAACAACTTTTACTGTATATAATAAATATTATTGTATACTAACTTTTTCATACTTAGCCTAATCTAATTAAAGTGCAAATAAAAAAGTTATTAAAAGTTTTATTAATGATGAAACGAACGTTTTGCTTAATGTTATCACTACATATAATTTTTTTAAAATAACTTTTATATAACAATAATATTATAAAAAATATTTATATGTATTAATAATTAAATATTTAAAATATAACTTTATTATTATTATATTATATTATATATTTATTAAATATTACAATTTTTTTTGTTACTATAATAATAATATTTGTTTTAATAAATTTATTGTTATTCTAATAATACTTCTTTACGAGATTTTATTTTTTAAAAAAACTTTTGAGTACAACTTTCATATTTCAAAGTTATAGTATAATAATTTATATGACAAATATAATAAAAAATAAATATTGCTATATATATTTTTTAAATTACTTATGGTTTTATTATTATTATAAAACCTATTAATCTTGCAAAACATTTTTTCTAGTTTTTAAAGTTTTTAAAATTTTTTGTTTTGTTTTATAGTACAAATAAAAAAATGATGCAAACTTAACATTTCTTTATTATGCTTGTATAGTAAATTTTTCCTTATTAACAAGGATTTGCTTACTGCCAAGCGAGAAATGGAAAAATACTGCAGCCTGTGCCCCAACTTTGCCAACTCTCGTGAGCAAAAGTTCCTTCAGGATATCATCAATGCCGGTTGGGCTCCTCCACGTGGCTAAGAAACCCATAAATTAACAATAATAATTTTACGCAGTTTTTATAAAAAATCAACTTCACTTATTTTTAATTACAAATTATTTAATATTTATACTTTCATTTTCTGAATTAGTATTATATTTATTTATTAATTTAGGAGAAGAGGAAGATCTTGAAGCTTTTGTTGAAGTTGTGAAAAAGTATGATTCTATGACTCCGTTGGATACGTGGACGTCGACTATTCTTTTAAAACTTAAACAAAATCTCGGCGAAGTGTCTGTCACGTGACGAGCTTTCGGCGTTTCCAATTTGCTACTCGCTTCGTTAAACTACTAGAATACTTGGATAAAGGAACAAATAAACTGATTAGATTTTTGCTATAGACAAACAACTAATAGAAATTACTATTTATAATTTTGTTTATTATTTTTTATTACTGTAATTAAATTTTACTTTGCCTTCGCAAGTATATAAACAAATAATTTATTTTTTAGATGAAAACATCTTTTAAATTATGGTTCACTTTCCAAAAACTAAGATAATATAAAAATATAAAAAGTACCTATTACCGCTTGATTTTTTTCGACCCTTATTGTACTTGTAACTTATAATATATTACTTTTATTGTTTTCTGTTAAATATGCTTCTTTATAAAAAAAATTAAATATTGCACTAACATAACTAAATATTTTAGGTTTTTTCAGTTACATTTAGTTATATAATTTCAAAGGTAACGTTATGATAAAGCGTTAATATGAATCAACCTAAATATGGATTGCATTTACCATATCTCGTTTAGCGGTTACATTTAGTTATTAAATTTATGAAAGTAACGTTATGATAAAACGTTAATAAACTATTTAAATTTTATGTGGATTTTTAAGTAGTAGTTTCTGCTTATAGTAAAAACATTTAAGATGTCTTCTATAAATTATAGCCTGAGTAAAACGCTTGCGACTGGTCAAGAAGTAACAAGTATATAAACATTTTATTTTACGAAAATTACTTTCGCATAACTCTGATTTAATATCTATATATTTATAAAGACTCGACCTAAAAATAACCTATAATATGAAATTCGTCTAAATTAAGAGTTAATTAAAAATATTTATGTATAAATAAAGTTTAAGTAATAGAAGCTTGCATGCTATAAATAGGCTTAGTTTACCGTTTCCTATTATCGTGTAGCTGGAAGTTGCGCTAGCGCCGCCCTTATATCATTAACCAAAGATATGACGAAAAATTATTAAGGTAAGTTTTTAAAATAACTTTTTATTCGTTTATATTTCCAGTTATTTAAAATATGACCTGTTTGAAAGTTCCAGAAATAACGCAATAAGTAGATTTAGTCGCAGTCTATATAAAATGAATTTATTCAAGTTAAAAAGATCCCTTAATAAAACACTACCGGTTAGAAACAATCAAATAGTTATATAAAAAAAGTTTTTTATTTTTACTAATTTTTTTTTTAACTGCAAAGAAAATACTATGAAAAAAAGAGCGTAGGTAAGTTAAATTCATTATTTATATATTACTGGCTTATTACAGTCAAAATGCTTAATTTTTACCTCCCTTGAATAATAAAGAAACGTTTGATGAAATCAGCTTCTCTTGAAAAGCTGTGACTTTTCAGTCTGCTTAAGCCAGCATTGGCGACTTTAAACTTAGAATACCCATTCGTTTTATTATTATTATTTTGTTTCTATAAGATCGAGCGCAGACTACTTAGTTTTGCTCAAAACTTAAATTTTTCTACATTGGTCGTGCATACAAGTGTTCAAATTCCGCTCTTGGTGGTACAAAACTGTTCGTGTGCGCATAGTTAGAATTAGAGAAAATACTTTCAAATAACTAATTTATTTGGAGATAACTGCAAACATTTGCTTCCGGGTATTTGTTTTTAATACTTTATATTTCTCGGTAAAATAAATATAGGCTCTATTTTCTTAAAAGTTCATTCATCCCTGCTTGTGGTCTAGATACTATACTTCCTACTGCCTTTACAGAAGTTAAGTAAAGGATAACTATTTACGACGATAAAGAAATCTTTATCCAGCGTCTTTTTTTTGTTATGCTCCATTCCAATAATCCTTACAAGTAAAACAACTTTACACAAGTTTTATCTTTAATTTAGTACAGTTAAAAAAAGTTCTTCTAGAATATAAAACAAGAATTTTAACCGTCTCATCTTTATTAGAGCATTTTTAAAGTTGAATACAAATGACACAAACACTTTGTAAAAGACTGTTTAAGCTTATGCCTTTTAAAATCTTTTGAAAACATAGATGAATATGTGCAAACTTTATATAACGACAATTAGGTGTTTAAACGTTGTGAATATGTAAATAAATGTTTGCAAGCGGAACGTTTTAAGGTGGTACTTGATAAATATGACGCTTTACTCGCTTTGCATCCACTTCTGTTGAGTTTTAGAACTTTTTCGCTTATATATACAGTAAAGCTTTTTATAATCAAGTCTTTACAGAAAATTTTAACTAAGTTAATAATTAAAACATTTTTAATAATATACAGAACTGCTGCTCCTTATTATTTAAAAAAAAAACCTTCATGAATGGCTAAGAATGAATATAAAGTATAATTTTTTGCGAGCTTGGCCAAAAAATGAATCAAAACTTTTAATTTGAAGTTAAATCAAATCTTTATTACTTATTATATAAAAGAGTTCTTTTTTTTTTTTAAAACTTCCGTATTTTTTTATTTGCCATCTAAATCCCCTCAAAAGTTTATTTATATATATTTTTTCGAATCCAAAAAATGAATTTAAATAAATTTGTTTCCCTTTTCATGTCTTATTTCCTTCAAGTTCCTTAAGAGCTTTGTTATATGCGATTCTAACGTTTTTCTTCCAGTGGCCTTTTAATTTTGAAAGCTGAATAACGAAATCAATAAAAGTTTCAAAACAATTTAAAAAAACTTTACAACCATTTCAAGATCCGCCTCTTTTCTGCCAAGGGGACGGATCTTTTTTTCAGGAATCCATCCCCTTTAATAAATAAATTAATAAACAAAGCAATTATGGAATAATTTTTTAAAAGAAATTATTTATAAAAATTTTTTAGAAATGCTGGATTGAATATAAAAAAAAAACTAACGCATAAAAAAAAGTTATTAATATTAATTTGCAATAAAATTTTTTTTAAAGAGTTTGCCAATCGCATTAATAATAAATATAAACTTTTTATAAATGTAATAAGAATAAAGAAAAAGATTTCAAAAGTTAGAAATTTAAAACCGCAAGGAAGGTTTAATGCAAAAAAAAAATTCCAAGAGTTACTAATAAAAAAAGTTTATATATATAGAAAGGAATTAGCACAACACCAAGTCTTCCTTTTATCGAAGTATAGGACCAAACAGGAAGACTTCTCATGTTCGGCTTTAAGCACCTTTAATAAGAAAATAAAATTAAATCTAATAAAAAAAATTAAAAGCGAGATTAGCAAAAAAAAAAAAAAAAAAACCAAACATTAAAAAATTTAATTAAAATAATAATAATAAGAAAAAAAGAAAGATTAAATATTAAATTAAAATTTTCTAAATCATTTAAAGATTATTTTTTTAAAAATTAAATAAAGTAAAATTCAAAGAAATTCAAGAGTACAGCTTGAGGAATTCGCCGGAATGGAGGCTTCACAATCTAAATCAAAAAAGTGAATTGTTATAAATTAAAAAAAAAAATTCTATTTCTTATTTATTTATTAAATATTATTTATTACTTATATTATTAATACTTTTGCAGGGTAGTAAGGAAAGGTATCTTGCTTGGCCCATACAATAGCACTATTCTGTTTAGGCGAAATGGAACACGCAAGCTCACTTTCGTTGGTTATTACTTCCACTAAAAAAATAAGTTGATGCACATAAATTTTAAAAAAAAAGTTACTAACTCGAATGTAAATTATCGGGAGAAACTTGAGGTTCCTCCGATGGAAGAGCAGATTTTTCATTGACAACTGATAAAGAGGGACTTGTATCATTGGACGAAGTCAAGGACAAAGGGGACTCATGATAGGCGGGCGTTTCCTCTTGTTGGAAGACAGGCTCTACAGAGGGGCGCAAGCAGTTCCTTCTAGAGCGGCGGGGTCCGTACATGTACTGCCCTTTCAAGCAATCATAAATAATGCTGCGGCCCTCGTCGTCGACGATGGGGGGGTGATTGTTGGACTCCCACGTGATAATTGGAGAGGCATCCGAGGATAGCTGAGGTTTTTCGAGGGAATGAGTCAAGAGAGCGGCAGCATCGTGCTCTGCTTTCTTTGCTGATTGATAAAACTCTGGAAGTTTTTTTACTTTTAATGCGCTCTTTTTCGTGTCCTTCTCGGAAAAATTTCTTATTAGTTTTGGCTTCTGCTCCCCAATTGTTGGGTCATGAGCCGAAGGTAAGGGAAGGCCGTTTTCATAAACTTGTTCTTCAAAATTCTCCAAGTTTCCAGCTAACAATAATAATAATGGTCATAGTAATAAATAATAATAATAGTTATACCTCCACCAGAATTTTGAAAAAATTTTCTTTTTCTTTTTAATGGAGGACTGCTCAACGTAATAAAAAAAATGAATCATGTAAAAATAGTATTAAAAAAACATATATCCATAATGAAATGTAAATAAACCTAAACTAATATATTTAAAAAGTTTATATAATATATTAACGTTAATAATAAACTAAACTGACATTTTGGTTGTTGGTTGAGTTCCACGTGCCTGTTGGCCCATTATCTTTAGAAAAAAAGTAAAAGAAATTTCAATATACAACTTTTAGTGAACAAAAGTTTGCCTCATTTTTAACAGTTTTCTCAAGAGAAACTACAACCCCGTTCTCTCCAAAAGTTACTTCGCTTAAACTATGTATTATAAATATAATTATGCAGAAAAAAAGTAAAAAAAATAAAGTTAAAAAATTAAATAAAGAAAACAAAACAAAATTGTATAAAAACTTAAAAATAAGTATATATACTAAAAAAAAGGAGGAAAAAAGTGGCGGAAAAGATAAACCTTTTTTTAACCAACTTCAAAAGTTCCTTCCCTTTCGCGCCAATTCTCCGAGCTTCCATGTGCACAAAGTGGCCATAGGAGTTAAACTTCTTGGCATTAGCAATCATCAGCGAAAAGTCCTCCTCAAATTCCTGAATGGAATGGTACTTGTGATTGGCTGCTTTTTGGCGCATTGTCCCCAAATCTTAAGAGAATCTTAAAATATTGACACAAAATTTCGAGAATATCATACCCATTGGTTGCTTTATAATGTCCAGGTAGCCAATAACAACTGAAGAATCAACAGGCTTAGCGAATATCGAGTGAACGTCCAAAGTGTTGAGTCCGTCAAGAGCCTCAAGCAACAATGTCTGGAGAGGGAAGACCTATTATTCATTGTATATTACCAAAAAAATGAATTAAATAATATTACGACAAAAAAAAAAACTAAACATTTCTTCGTATAAAAAGCAACACATAAAATATATTAAGACAAATCGCAATAACGTTATAAAAGCACGTGTCATACAACAAAATTTGTGTCCTTTTCTTTAGTATTTATTGAAGGCGAATAAACAACTGAAAAAGAAATAGAAAAATCCAATGATAATAATAATAAAAAAGTTACTAAAGTTTAACGTCAACGCCAGAAAAGTTATTTCAGATATATAATTAAAATGCATGCTTGCTTACAATAAAATTGTGCTTAAAATTTAAAAGCACTAATCAGAATGATAATAAGTATTTAGATGCCACATGTCTTAAAAAAAGCACCGAGCAACCGTAATGTAGTCCACAACCCACATAAACCAAGATTTTCCTGCAACTAACCACGGATTTAAAAAGGTCTTCCTTCAAAGCCACGCATTCCTTTTTCAATTTCTCGCGTTTAAGACAAAGCTCAGCAAGCAGACGCAGTCTTTCAAGACCGAGTCGAAGATTCTGGACGGTAACGCTCAGATGCGAGGAATCTTGAAAATGATTGGCTTCCTTGCTGGTCGTCTGCCCTTTGAATTCACAAAAAATTTAGCAAAAACAAAGCATAGATTAAAAAAACCCATTACCATTTTGCGACTGCAGGCGGCGGAGTAGTGGAATGCCACTTCGTGATTGACGCTTTAATGTCCAATAGCTAAGGATCATTTCGGCCAACTGTCCAATGAATAATAACAATTATATTGATCACTGGAAAATAAACTTTTTATATAAATACAAAAAAGTTATATTGTACTAATAATGTAATAATATATTCATTAAGATTATACTAGAAAAAGGAAAAGAAAATAAATCTCTTATCTAAATTCCAATAAACAGTGATGTAAATAATGTATGTAGTTTATGAATAACCATAAACTTTCTAACAAAAAACTTTTTATTTGATAAAAAGTAAATATAAAATTTCATTATAAAAATTCTACAAGTTTGTATATAAATAATAAACTTTTAAGAAAAGAAATGAATAAAATTTCAGAACATTTTATAAAAGTTTTAAAAAGTTTCAAGTCAATATCCTTATTATAAATAAATTAAAAAAATTTTAAACACTTCAAAGTTTATATTAAAATAAATTCTAGAAGACCTTCTTTTTTTTATATATGGAAGAAAATTTGGAAAGAAAACGTAAAATTTCTTCAACACCGACAGAAGGAATGATCATCACTGGGACGTCAGGCTCCTGCAAATTAATAATAATAATAATGAAATTCTGTTTAAAAGTTTTTTTAATAAAATAAAATAATGCAACTTTTTTAAAAAAAGTAAAAATAATTATAAGTAATTCTAAAAAAATTATTATATAACAAATTAATATATAAAAATATTATAAAAGTATATATAATTTTTATAATTTTTATAATTTCTTTATTATTATTATATTTATACATTATTAATTTTTTAATTATTTTTTTTTTAATATTATTATTTATTTTATTATCTTTTATATTATCTTAAGATTGTACTAATAATAATAGATGATACATAATATAAATGAAAAGTATCATAAAAAATTATTAAAATATATATGAAATTAGACTATAATTATATATGATAGAAATATTCTATATAAAAAAAAGAAAATAAAGATGAAAAAAAAATATTATTAAAAGAAAAATAAATATAATTAAGAAAATTTACTTTATAAAAAATTGTAATCCAAATAAAATTTATGTAAATTTATATATACAAATTCATTCTTTTATAAATTTCTAAAATACTAAATCATATTATCTTAACTTTTTTTTATGATATATAATATAGTTATTAATATTAAATATTTATTAGAAAAAATAAAATCGTTAGTAAAAAATTTTAAAAATGATATATAATAATATAAAAGATTTAATATTAACTATTATGACCATAAAAAATATATCATCCTAATAAAACTTTAATAGCTATAAAAAAGGATTATACTATTTTAATAAAACTTTAAAAGAAACAATAAAATGAAACAAATAAATTTATTATAAAAAAAAATAAGGAATCAATAAAGAAAAAAAAAAACAAAGAATTTTATAAAATAAAATATATAAGTAATATTAGTTAATATTATTGAAAAAAATTATATTACTATGAAATTTTAAATAAAGGAAAAAATAAAAATATTTATTAATAATAAAAATAATATAAAAACAACATTTTATGATAAAACGAGTATTAAAAAATTTATAAAATAAAAAAAATAAATAATAAATATTATTAATGAATTTATACTACTATAAAATTATTTAAAAAGTAAAAAAATAAATTATTAGTATTAAAAATAAAAAATATATAAAAATTCATAATAAAATAAGTAACACAAATAAATTATTATAATTAATATTAATAAAGAATTTATGCTACTATAAAAATTTTTTAAAAAAAGGTAAAATATTTTTTATTTATACTAAAAAATAAAAAATAAAAACATTTAATAGAATAAATATTAATAATTATTAATAATACCAAAGAAATTTTATAGCACTATAAAAATTGTAAAAAAAGTAAATAATCATAATTAATATTAGTTTAAATTTATATTACTATATAATTTTTAAAAAAAAGGAAAATAAAAATATTTATTAAAAATAAAAAATAATAAGAAACAACATTTATAATAAAACGAGTATATAATAAAATATATAATAAAAACACTATATAATAAATATCATTAGTAATGAATATTATTATAAAAATTTCAAAAAAAGGGAAAAAAATAATTATTAATATTACAAAATAATAAATATGTATAAACATTAAAATGAGTATAAAATATAAATAATACTAATTAATATTATTAAAAAACTTATATTACTATAAAAATTATCAAAATAGTTTAAAAAAGTAAAAAAATATTATTAATAATAAAAAATAATAAATAATGTATTATTTATAATAAAATTAATGAATAATAATAATTATAATTATAAAGAAATTTATATCATGAAAAACTTTAAAAAAAAGTGAAAAAAAATAAATTTTAGTATTAAAATATTTAAAAAAGTTAAAAAATATTATTACAAATATAATAAATAATCATTTTAAAAAATTTTAAAAATATTCAAAATCAAAATTATTAAAAAGTAAAAATTTTAAATGAAGTATAAAAACTGATCAAAAAAAAAAGATTCATAAAAAAGATTTACAAAATATAAAAAATATTAAACTTATAAAAAAAATAGTATTAAAAATGTAAATTAATATATAAAATATAAATATGAATATAAAATATTTTTCAATATAATAAATAAAAGATACAAACTAATAAAAAGATTTACAAAAGTAAAAATATAATAATATCATAATTATTACGAATTAAAAATAATAAAAGGGAAGAAACACAAAAGATATATTTTATTAAAATATTACTAAAAAAATTAATGAAGATAAAAAAACTTTTTTTTTATGAATATAAATAATAATTATTTTCTAATAATAAAAATACTTGTAAAAAACTTTTATATTAAATATGATGAATAAAAAAAAGAATCAAGAATCTTTGAAAAAAGTATAATTATTATCTACAAAAACCGTGCTAACAACATATTTAAAAAAATTAAATAATAATTATAGTTAAAAAGTATATATATAAAAAGTAAATAAACTAAATAACATAATAATAATAAACATGTTATAAAGTGAATAAGGAAAAGAAAAATAATAATTAATAAATATAATATAACAATAAAAAATATTAAAAAAGTTAAATATTATAAATAGTAAAGCAATAATATATAATAATAAAAATAAACTTGTAAAGCTTTTGTAAAATAACAAAAACAATGTAAAAAGTAAATAATAATGAAGTATAATAAATATAAAAAGAACTAGAAAATATAAATAAACTCGTATAATTTTAGTGAAATAACAAAACACAATATAAAAAGTAAATAATAATATAAAAATATAATAAAGTATAAAGAGAACAAGAGAACATATTAAAAAGTTTATAATAATATAGAAAATAGTATAAATAAAAATATATAATAATAATAAACTTGTATAGTTTTAGTGCAATAATAAAAACAAAATAAATAGTAAATAATAATAAATAAATAACAAAATGGTTTAGTTAATAAAAAAAAATTAAATATATAATAATTAAAAAATTAAAAATATAATAATAATTATCAAAATAATAAACTTTATAGCTTTATAATAAATAAAATACTTGCATTGTCATATGACGTTTTCCTTTTCTTTTTTAATCGCGTCTACAAAATAATAGAAAACAATAAAAAATAAAAATAAATAAATATTTTAAGAAAAAATAATAAATTTAAGAGAATAGGAAATAATAATAATATCATAATACTTTTTGGTAAATAAGTTAATAATAAATATTATTATTGGTAATAAGAAGTTTTAAATATTTTAAAAAATATAAATAATAAAAAAAATATAAATAAGAAAAGATTAAGAAGTAAAAATAATTAATAGATATATGGAAAATAGAACGAAAAATAATATAAACATAAGAAAAAAATAATAACAATTCACTAGAGAATATATGGGAAATAATATAATAATAATAAAAAAAAACAAAGAAATAATAATATGATAAATAATAATAAGAAAAATATAATGATAAACAATAATAATCAATAGTAAAAAAAAAATTGTATAATGAAAAATAATAAAGTAAAAAAAGTAATAAAAATGATTATTAATATAATAATAATAAAATAATTGTAATAATTATCTATAATAAATAAAATAGTACAGAAGAAAAGTGAAAGCCGCTGCTATTGGCGGGAGTATGAGCTTCACAGTAAGAAATTTTGTTGGGATGCTCCAAACTAAGAGTGTAAATTTTGTAAAAAATATTATTTATTGTTAGTTTTTATAGTGTAAAAAATAACTTGAACGCAAATGTTTATTATTATCGATAATTATTATATTATTATTATTATATAAAAAATAAAAACAACTTGTACTATAAAAAAAATAATAAGAGTAACCATCGAATTGAATAGAAAAACTTTATATGAATATAAGAATCAATATAAAATCGGTAACAAAAAAAAAATGATAATAAATACATAAATTTTTATTATTTATACTTAAATTTAAAAAAACTTCCACACTATAAAAAATATAAATATTTATAGAATATACAAAGTTGAACAAAAGAACGTTATACTTATAAAAATAAATAGAAATAGATATTATTTATTAAACAATGAAATAAGTATAAGATATAAATTTTTATATAAAATAAAAATCATCAAAAATACTAAAAAATACTATAATATGTGTAAATTTCATTATTTATATGTTCAATTAAAAAAAGCCAAAAAAATATTTAACAATAATGAAAAATAAAACTATAAAAAAAATTTCGTTAAATAAATTAAATAAAAAAATTCTTTTAAGAGTTATAATTATTATTTTTTAAAATTAAAAGTAATTGAGTTTAATTTTTTTATTAAAAGTTTGTATTTTCTCTTTTTTGTTACAAATTTTTTTAAGATATTTTTTTTACAAAAAATCTATTGCGTTTTCATTTAAATCCTCTATAATTAATTATAAACTTTAAATTAATATGAAAAAGTAGAGATTTTTTTTAGTTGATTTTATTTTTCAATAGAAAATCTCTAAAGAAAAATATTTTTGTAAGTTTTGATTAAATATTTTATTAAAATTATTTCAATGGTTAAAAAATTAATATTTTGTTCATATTATTTTTATCTATAAAAAATTTAATATAAATTATTGTATCTTTGTACTTTTTGTGTATTTAACAGAATTTTAATAGATTTTATATATTTATCATTTATTATTACACTTTTTTACTTTGTATTGTTATTATATATAAATATATAATTATTGGTTATATGCTATTCTTGTTTGAGTAGTTAATATATATATATTTATATTTTAAATTTCTTTTTTTAAAACTGTAAACATCAATTTAAAAATTTAGTATTATAAACATTTATACAAATTTTGTCTATTCATACTTAGTATTATTTAATGATTAATATTAACTTAATTTATAATGAAGATAATAAATAAGGCACCGACCCTTCTCGCTACACTACTTTATTTAAAAATAATCACAAATCTTTAAAAAGTTTTTGATATTATAAAAAAAAAGACTAAAAACATTTTAAATATAACTTTTACATTTAATTAAAAAAAATTAATAAATCCAAATTAGAAATTAATATTAATAAAAATAATAAATTAATAAAGTTTCTAAATTCAGTAATAATAAAAATTAATAGTTCAAAATTTATAGTTGACTAAAATTGTTATACAATTTATTAATATTCTTTTAAAAAAATCCTTTTTATTATTTATTTTTTTAGTGAACCCTTCAACAGATTCAATCTTCATATAAAGATCCGCGCGTTGTGCACAGGTCACGTGGTAGGCCGTGTAGCAAGTTTGCTTGTGGCACTGGATGCACGCGCCTTTCCTCCTAATAAAACATAAATTGGAAAAAAAAACAAAATAGAAATTTTATTATTGTGAAAATTATTTTTTCATAATCAATAATTTTTATTAAATAATTTTTTTTTCGTAAATAATATTATAACTTTTTTTTTTAGCATATAATTTTATATTTATTTTAATTTCTTAATTCCTAACACTTTACTATTATATTTATATTCTATATTATTTTTTAAAATTTTTATTTCTTCATATAAAACTCTTTATTATTTCATTTTATCTTCATTTTATTATTTTTAAGACTTAAAATATAACAAATAATTATAAATATAATAAATAAAAATTAAACGATTTATGATAATTTTATAAATTTCAAAAAAAATATTAAATTTCGAATTAACTTTAATTAAAGTAAAACTTTATAAAATTCCAGACGCACCAGAACGCACAAACTTTTAAATAAAAAAAAGTAAGCTAAAAAATGTAAGCTTTAAAAAATATACTTAAATAAAATTTTTTATAAAACAAAAAATTAATATCTATAAAAATAGTCAAAAAAAAAACAAATTAGTTATAGTTTCTTAATCTTTTAAAAATAAATATAACTTTTCTATAATAATAGTAAAAAAGGGAATTTTTAAAATCATAAAATTTAATGTTTAAACGTTCGCATTTATAAACAAAATAAAAAATATTAATTCTAAAATAATTTTAATAATGTATAAAATAAGAGAAAATAATATCACGTGCACAAAAAAATAAATATTTAAGCAAGCTTTAAGAATATATATAATTACTGTACATTTTTATTTGAATTTTAAAAAAAAAGCCACAACTGTACAAAAAAGAATCACAGTTTCACACGCCATAATAAAAAAGTGTAAAAGAAACAATTCTCTCACAAAATATAAATTTATTTCACTTTTACATAAAAATTTATAAAATTTAATTATAAAATTTATAAAAATACCCGCAAATGGAGCAACAAAGTTTAAATCTTGCCTTAGGAATTTCGTCAATGTTGATGGGCTCGACCACAATGTCGTTGGCAAAATGAGCTTCGGGAATCCATAGAGCGCAGGCAACGTGCGCCCAGGCTCTATAGATTTTTTTAAAGCGATAATTATAAAACCTATAAGATTCCACAGAAAAAATTTAAAGATTTCTTGAATTTACTTAATTTCAAATTTTAATTTTTAAAATCACTTGAAAGTTTCTAAATGGCTCCAAAAGATTTAAAAAAAATATTTAAAATTAATTAATAATAAAATCAATAAAAGTGTAGATGAAAAAATTAATTTTCAAACTCTACAGCTGAATAGACTTTAAAAAATATATAAAAACTAAAATGTTTCTAAGTTTACTTATAAGTTTGTAAAATAACTCTACCATTCAAAAAGATTTAGAAAGAAAAATTAAGAAATAATTGATAATAGAATCTAAAAAGTGTACATAAAAAAGTCTACAAACAAAATTATGTATAATTGTCTAAAAATTACATTGATATTTACAAAATCTTTTAAAAAATATTAAAAAACAAATATAAATTAATAAGAACTAGAATTTAAAAAAAGTGTAGAAAAAATTATAAAAAAAAAATTATAAAAAAAGTTTGGAATTTACCTAAAAATTTCAAATCAAATAAAAATTTATAAAGATTATAAAAATGTGTTTAGACTTAAAAAACTCAAAAATGCGGCTCTAAATAAATTAAAGGTATAAACTTTTATTATTAGAACTTTTATGTATGTAAACTTACAAAAACATAAGTAAAACTATAAAAGATAAAAATAAATTAAATATAAAATCAATAAAAGTATAGAAAACGTGATACAAGAATGTGTTTATAAATTTACTTACAAATTTTAAAATGGCTTTACCGTTTCAAAAGATAAATATAAAGGAAAAATTAATAAATTAAAAAATCTACACGGGAGTAGAAAAAAAAATTATAAAAATGTATTCATATTAACTTTCAAAAATGAAATTAGTTAATTATAAAATCTATAAAAGTGAAAGGAAAAAATTAATACGAAAAATACGTGTTTTTGGATTTACTTAAAGATTTCGAAATGATTTAACCGATTCAAAAAAATAAAATAATAAATTATTGTTAAATCTATAAAAATTAATAAATAAATTATACAATTATAAAAAATCTTCTTAGATCTACTTAAAAGTTTAAAAATTTATTGCATGTAAGTTTGAAAAAAAAAACTTTTGCTTTCTAATTTTATAAAAAAAATATTTGAAAAATATTTTTATAGTACTAAAAAAAAAACGGATATAATAAATTTATGATAAAAATTAATATTATACCAATAAATATTTTTTTAATAAACATAAAAAATAAATTTGCTTTTGAAAAAAATAAAATATATTATAAAAACAATAAAAATAAAAAGTATAAAACAATTGATAATCAAAAAAAAATTATTATTTTTAATTTGAAGTAAAAATTTTATTGCAAGAGAAATTAAAAAAATTAAATTAACGAAAATTCTGGAAAGAAGATGAAAACTTAATAAATGCAAAGTAGAAATTGTAGTATTCAAATATAACAATAATAACTAAAAATAATAATATTTATAAAATTGAGGATCATATTATGTTCGAGAAATAAAATGAGGGGGACCCAATCCAAAAACATAAATATTAAAAATGATAAAAAAATAATTAAAAAAATTTAAAACATCGAAAGTTCATGGAAAAATTAAACTAGATAAAATCCAATGAAATTATTGCATTAAAAAAAAATAATGAAATTTTAAAAAAAGTAATAAAAAAATCTTAATCTTCACAAGTTCGGAAAAGAATAAGAGGAAACTCAATAAGGTCGAACAACATAATGATTTAATAATACTAATAATTATTGTAAAGATAATATAAAATTAAAAATAAAATTATAAAAATAATTCATTGAAAGTTAGGGAAAAAAATAGGAAACCCTTTCGTCGTCTGCTTGAAGGCGCCTCCTTTGTTAGGGCACAAAACGCAGCTGATTGGTGTTGACGGGGACAACTGGCACCGTCGGCACAGCCATTGGCCTTCAGGAATGAAAGGCACGCCGTAGCATTCTTGGTGAACTTGGAAAAAAAAATTCAATTTTTTAAATAAGTAAATCTGTTATCCAAAATTTAAAATAAATACAAAATTTTTTGAAGAAATTTTTAATTAAAAAATTTATAATTAATTGAGGCGAAAATTTTTTTAAAAGTTAGTTAATTATAAAAAAGTTATATATATAAAGGTAAAAAAGAATTTATCTTTATATTTAGTACATCTTAAGTGACATTAATGAATGCAAAAAAAACATTTTTTTAGTAAATATTTAATTTAAAAAATTATAATATATTGAAAAAAAAAATTTATATAATTAATTCATGTAAATTTTGTTTATTGTAAATTTTAGAGTAAAAAAGATTAACAGGAAAAAAAATTGAATTTAAACCCAAAAACTTATTTTTTTGTGTAATAAGTAAACCTTTAATAAAAATATTAATATAAAGTAAAACAAAATTCATTTATTATACAAAGAGCAAATCTTTAATAATAAATATTATAAATAATCTTTATACTGATAGTAAATCTTTAATAAAAAAATTATAATAAATTAAAACAAATTCATTTTTATATAAATAGTAAAACTTTAAAAATAAATATTATAATAAAGTAATGCAAAAAAATCATTTTATTGCATAAAAGCGAGAGGCAAATTAAATCCAATTTTTTTATATAGTAAATCTATAAAAATAGAAATATTATAATAAAGTAATAAAAAATATTTCAAATTTTTTAAAAATATTAAATCTTTAATAAAATATTATAAGAAAGTAATGCAAAAAAAAAAACTTTTTTTTTATAATAGTGAGTTTTTAATAAAAATATTATAAAGTAATGCAAAATAAGTAAATTTTTTTATAAATAGTTAATTTTAATAAAATTTACTTTATATGTAATTAACACATCAATTACGATTACAAAATTAAAAAAGATTATAAAGATCTAAAAAATGATAAAAAATAAATTAATAGAAAATCAAAATATATATATATAAAACTTTAACTATATAGAAATTAAAAAACTTTTTTTTTAGAATAATTAAAATTTATATTAAAACATAAAATGTTATAATATTTTTTTTTAATTGATTTAAATTTGTAGTGAAAGGAAATAAATTATTATAAAGTTTACTAAATTTATATGTTAGTATTAAAAAATAAATTTTATATTTAAAGTTAAGAGTAATAACTTTATAATAATTTTTCTTTAGAAAAGTTTAAATAGTATATTATATATAAAGTAATAATTTAATTAAATTTATTATTTTATTAGTTAAAAAACAATTAAAATTCAAAAATAAATTAATAAAAATTTTTAAATAGAAATCGTTATAGCTTTAATAAATCTTTTTTTAACGTAATTTTATTACTTTTAGAAATTAAAATTTTTTTTTACAAATTACAAATAAATAGGAGATCTTTATTATACTTTTTAATATATTGCAATAATATTTTCATTTCAGTAAAAATCAGTAAAACTTTAATAAATCTTTTTTATTATAATTACTTACTATAAATAAATATATAAATATTAGAAATTTACTAACAAACGTAATTTCTTAGTAAATCTTTTGTTAAAAAAATTACTATTTTTCTTGTTATTCTTTTTACTTATTTTTATTACTAAAAGTTTGAACATAAAATAAAAATTTAATTTATAAATTTTTCTTATATACTTTTTTAAAAGCTTTTCAATTTCAACTGAAATAGTTTAAAAATTTTGAAAAAAAAGATTTTATTTATTTATTAAAGTATTATTTTATATACAACATTCATATTAATCCTTTTATTTTTAATAATAATATTAACTTTAGTTTTTTTTTAAAGTAAAAATAATTATTCTAAATTTACATATTTTTCTTTGTAATTATTAATTTATCTTTGTTTATTTCTTAAAAAAATATATATTTTTAAAAAATAATAATACTTTTCATTTTATTATAATGTAAATTTATTCAGCTTCCTTAATTATAAAAAGAATTACTTTTTGAAAGAAAAATTAGCAAAGCTGTTTTATGAATTTGAAATTATTATTATTGCATTATGTTTAATAATATTATAAAAGTTTTTTTTTTTAAAATTAAATATCTTTTTATAATTATTTTTATTTTAACTTAATTATTTATTTTAAAAATGTCATAAATCCTTTAATCTAAAAAGAAAAAATACTTTTATTATAAATTAATGATTAATTTTGAAAAAGTAAAAAAAATTTAAATCTTTAATAAAAAATTAAGTTAGTATATTAATATCTATAAATAATCGTTTGTTAGAAAATATAATAAAATTAGAGAGAATACTTTAACTATTAAAAAGTGAGAATTAAAAAATATATAAATTACGTATTAAAAATTTAAAAAATTAAAAAAATATATTTTAGTTTAAAAAAAATTTAAAACTTCAAAACTCTTATTTTCGAGTAATTTATTAATCAGAAATTAAAAAAGTAACAAATGCACTCCGTTCTGTATAATAAAGTTTTTTTTAATTAATATAATTAAAAAAATTAAAAAAATATAAAAAATTAGTAATTTTGTTAAAAAATAAATCAAAATTTAAATTTTTTGTAAGTTTTGGATAATATTAATCATAAACTTGAGATTGATAATTATTGTAAACGCTTAAAAAATGTTTTCTTGGTTTTACAAAAATATGATAAAACTAATTCAAGTAAAAGAATGTCTAAAATTATTTATTTATTAATAAAACTTTTGCAATAAAATATTTAGACATTAAATTTTATTAATAAAAAAATTAAAATAATTGTAATGACAAACATCGATAAAAAGGAAAAATCATAGTACAATTGCTAGTTTATTACAACTTTTAATAAAATAATTAAGTAAACCTTAAATATTTGTAAAAAAATAAAATATTTATAAAAGTTTATATTTTTTTCAATTGTAGTTTCTATAAGAAAATAATTCAACAAAATTATTATAAAAACAATAAAAAGTGTATTAAAAAAAATTTAAACGAATTTCAAAAACCCAAGTCATATACGATTTGTTCAAATTAAGTACTTTACGTAAAAAAAAGTTTAATTAAAAGTATTTTAAAAATTTTAAATATTAAAGATTCAAACTAAAGTTTTTAACATTTTTATTTCATTTAAATTTTATTTACATTTTTTCCTTACGTCTTTTTAAAAGTTCCGGAAAATTAAAATTTATTAAATTATTTAAAATTTATAAAAGTGTAAAAAAAATCACCGGGAATATTGCACGCATCACAAAATAAAATCGCGTTGGTGTTTTCACACTCGCCATCCCGGCAAATGCAACAAACAGCATTTTCGTCAACCGGCAAGGAGCCATGAATTCCTTGAGCGTGGCTCAAAAAAAAAGATTCTTTGCAGAAAGTAATTGTTTATTAATTAGTAATAATTACAAAAAATTTAGCAATATAATTTTCATTTTAATTTTAAATTTTCAATAAATTTTAATTTTCAAAAATTTAGCAAAAAAAGTGTTTAATAATTTTAAATAAATACAAAGTTTAGCTAATTTTTTTTGAAAAATATAAATAAAAATTTTCAATAACTTTTAATTTAGCAATATAAAGACTCTTTGAAAGGATAATTAGAACTATTAATATGCACAAATTCTAAGCCAAAAATAATCTTAAAAAATTTAATAAACATAAAAGGTTAGAGTTTCTTTACAAAAGTAATTATTCAAGAATTATTAATAATAATAAAAAATATAACAAAAAGTTTTGCAAAAGTAATTGTTTGTAATTTATAAAGTCTAGCGAATGCGGTCAGTAGCCTAAATTAAAATATCTAACCTTTTTCCAAACGATCTATCGCATATTCAAACATTTGTGGAGTGACTTTTCCCAATCCCTCCCGCTCTCTCTGAACATTAACTTCAGCAAGCCAAGCAAGGTCCTCGTCATCGACGTCATACTCAATTTCTTTATCAAGTTGCTCAGCTGATTTAGCTGTTAGAATTGTATAATAATAATTAGAAATTAAATTCTTTACAAATGTTCAAAGGAAAAACAGAAAAAACCTGAGTAACGATAGTAATTCAAAGGTCTCTGCTGAGTCTTCTTCTGTGTATTATAGTCTTCAATGATCCAAAATTTCCCCGAAGGTAGAAGTTTACTGGGCTTTAAAATTAATATATAAATAAAAGATAAAAGTTAGGTGCGAGCAGTCTCCAAAAAATTATAAAATTTAACATATGTTTACTTTTATCGTAATTATAATAAAATGTTAGTGTTCTATTTTCTTCGACAACTTCATTAAGTTACAAAGAAACTATAATTACAGCAGGTAGAGCCCTTAAGGCCTCAGAAATTTCTCGATTATTATGAACGGTTTCAACTTTAAGAGGAGCCATGCAATCAACAGGTATCGTCACACCATTCTGAGTGATATCTTTATAAAAATAAAGGTATAAAGTATTAATTATTAACATATAAAGCTTGAACTTCAAAATGCAAGAGTTATATTTTACGATAGATAGGCAGATATCAAAACAAAGGTAAAGGAGAAGAATAAGATATTATGTCGCCAATTTAAATGAACTCATTTATTTTATTTAAGCTAATACATAACTAATTATAGCCGTGCTTCCGATCAAGGGAATAACTTCTTTGGGGATCGTAGGCATAGCTTTAATTTAATTCCTTAAAAACTTTAGAAGGCTGAAAGTGTTAAACATTAACAGTAAACTATATTAAAAGCTTTAGACGGTTTTAACGGGGACTAAAGGAAGAATAAGTTATAAAAAGTCGGCGCTCGAGCTTTACGCTAAAGGAAGGCCCTGCTTAGGAAGGGCCATCCCGAACTACCAATAACTTATCAAAAGTAACTCATGAGATGGTGCTTTTCTCGTATATAAGCAAAAAAGGTGAACTGTGATAGAAAAATAACTTTTATTTTGTTGTACCTTACTTAGTTACATTTCTCATAAATAAATTTTTTTACTTTTATTTTAATTATATACTTTGTGCAAATACTAAACAATTTTCTCAAAAATTTGTATTTTCTTTTTTTATTTAAAAAGAGTGTATATCCTTAAATCTAGCAGAATTAGTAAATCCACAGTCTCGATATTGGTAGTTTCAAACCGCATAAGCGATTTTTCTGCTGGCGGTTTCAAGAACGATAGCAACTCTGTAGTCGCGGTTAAAGAAATTTCCTTTATTGAAGTATTTATATTCTACTGGGCAAAATTTTACATGCCCTTTTACACGCTTGTAGTAAAAAAAGGTTTGGGAAACAAAAAGTTTATTATTATTATATGATCTAGGAAAATTACTAACGCGACAAATTATCAAGCACAATTTCGTTTATAAACTTAATTGCACTTCTTTCAAGCTTTTATTTATTAGTAACCCTACCCTTTTTGAAACTTAGAGCGTGTATTAATGGAGACCTGCAGTCGTAAAATTATAAAGTAGCACTATAACGCTTTCAGCCTATGGAGAGAGCACACAGTCAATGCTTGCATGACTTCTGCTAAATAATAGTTCCACAGGCTTTGAAAAAGTATTATAAAGTTAACGTTAAGGTCAGTAGTAAGTTATCTGCAAGAGTAAAACCTATAAAATCCGTAGTATAATTCTCGGGGCTCGATAAAATGTGCAGTGACATTAGCGTGGCGCTGGCTTCGTCTTAATCGAAAAAGGCTATAGCAAAAACTGGATTTCTTGTTAACTGCTTTGCACAATGGTAGTGGTCATACTTCTATAAGGAGATATTAGACCAAAAGAAATTTTAACATTCAGATAGTCATTACGGTGTACAAAATTCACAGTTTCCTTTTAAATTTAGTCGATTTACCTCTCCAAATTATTATCTCAGGTCTCCCCTCCTTTCTATATACTTTGCTACAACGTGTGCGCCACCTACTCAATTTCACGCTGCCATTCGTTATGGTGAAACTAAAATCTTGTAGTGCTCTTTAATGTAAGCGTTAATGTAGGCTCAGTTTTTTATAAATTATATTTATCGGTTTATATTTTTGAAATATTTTATGTTTATATCTACATTAGTGAGCATATATCAGTAAGAGATCCTCATAATCTTTTTGCATGAAAATTTTAAACAATCAGACAAGCAATTTTAGATGGAGCATGTGTCCTCTAAAATTGATTGTATGATTTAACGAAGTTCCCAAAAATGAACTAATGTAGAAATTGTTTGTAATAACTTAGAGAGGAGGCCCTGAGTACCTGTTACATGTTTTGGTTAATATAATACATCTTAAGCATATACACAAAATTTACATAGCAATAAGTTATGGCAACCAAGAGTGAAAATAATTTAGTTAAATTACAAGGTCTGCAGAGTAAGTATATAAAACTTTATCCTGCATATGAATATATATCGTATAAGATACAAGCCAATATTTAAGCGAAGTAATAAGGGATAAGTTCTTTTAGAAGCTTAACTTGAGATAGCCTTAATGGCAATACTATCGTAATGCTAATATTTATGATATATAAAATTATTTTTCGATTAAAAGCCTACGACTTCTAAAGCTATTAGTCAATGTATCAATCTATCATGTATGATTTTTCAAAAACTTTATAACAAGTTTATAAAACTAAAGCTTTTTTTTCTGAGTCGGTTGCTGCTTTTATGTCGTTTATATCTTAGAAGGAATCCTCAAGAATGTAAGCAACAAAGTTAAAAATTATTTTCTTGATTTAAAAATTATTATATACTAAAATTAAGTCAAAAATTATTACTAACTAGGCAACTTTGGTAAATAAAAACAATTTTTAAGCATTCCGTTTAGTAATTTCCTCGATTGTAATTTTAAAAGCGAATGAATAGCACTACATCCTCTCGATTAATCGGCAATATATGAGGATACCTTGTAAGCAACGGCAATCAAGTCTCTATATTTATGTTTAACAACTTCTTTATTTCTATTCTTTTCGTCTACGGGATTTAATAAGAGTTGTGGAAAAAATAAAAGATGAAAACTATTAAAAACACGTACATTGGATAAATCACTGGAAATGTTGTCATTTAAAGAAATATTTAAAGCGTAATGCTTTAAGTTAGTAAGGTTTAATTATACTAAAAGGCGACGTAAGTAAGCTTTTAATACCAACTTATATTCATCTTTAAAGATGTTTAAATAATAAAGTTATATTTTGCCGGAGAGTTGTTCTTTCCGGCAATATATGTTTACATGCACCAGAAAAGCTGCTGCACTGGAAAGATGCGTTAGTTTATGCAAGAAATTTTTTTAATTCCCTACCACACGGAAAGTTAGGCGAAATAATTTATAAAAATAAAACTTTATTAGAAAAACTGAAAGCAATTTTAAAACTGTTTACACGGAAGGTTAGAGGGAATATATTAACAAAAGAATTATTTATTAAAAGAAAACTTTTGCCAAAAATATTTATATATTTTTGGTATTTTATCACGGAGTTAAAACTTATTGCTTTATGAAAAGATGTCAAGGTTTACTAAATTCAAGACTGCAGTGTGTAAGAATATCCTAATACATGTTAACGTTTTAGAAGGACCTAGTCTTTTCTATACAATTCCAGGAATAGTCTACCTCTACGTATTGAAAAATATAAAATTTTTAGTAAACATTGTGAAACCAGTAAGCAGATCATAAATATAAAGGCGCTCAAGAAAAAAATATATGTCAATATTTTTATTAACTTTTGCGTCAAAAAAAAAAAAAGTTAGAAGTATAAAAAACTCTTTTTATATAAAAGGAAAGGCATTTGATTTTAGAAGCGTGCAAAAGCTCAAAGTTTAGATTATAAAGTTCTTTTCCCTTAAATTACTTATAAAGCGGATTTTTATAAAGGGCTCTGTGAATTAAATATATATATAAGAATTAGTATATACATCGAAGAATTAGTAAATCGCAGTGAATCGCTTACAGTCCAATTCCACGATTCACTAATATTTAGAGAATTATAATCGTCCAACTTATCCAAAGCGGCTGGATCCTCATCTTCGCTTGAAAGCGAATCACAAACTTTACTGCCAAAAGAGCTCTGCTGGTGCGCCTTCAGCGATTTGGAAATCATTTTTATTTGAGATGAAATGAGAAAAGAATTTAAAAATTCTGAAGTTGGTTGATTAGTAAGGACGACATTCACTTTATGGAAATCCTCTTTAGCCAGCCCACAAAGATTTAAGTAGAGTGTATGAGGACTAGAGGCAGAGCTGGTGACCGTCACTACTACGGATTGGCCCTGAAAAACAATCCGTGTCGATCCCGCTTGATCTCGTTCCGCAAAGTATTTCAAAGCTGAAGAGCCATGTGATTCAAATTTTGAATCCGGAAGCCCGTCCGTGACTAAATGGAGCACATCGTCATACAGTTTTTCTTCGTGGATGCTAATTGGACGAGCTTCAGAGAGACTTTCACAGATTTTATTGTAATCTTTAACTGGCGCTGCTGCTGTACTTGACGCGCCTTCAAAAAAAGGCAAGTTCTTTTTTTACCTAAATTTCTTATAAAACAACTTTTTTTTACCTTGAAGGCGTTGAATTAAATTTCTTAATTTTTGAATCTCGAGCCCCTGTTGGCTTCTAGATTTGCATTTTGCGATCCAAAATCGGCAAGCTAATTGGTAGATGGCTTCTCGACTTAAACTAGTTAATATAAAAAGAAAAAACCTTTTTGTAAAACAAGGGCGGCTCTTTTAATTTTAAGAAATTGAGTTCTTCCTCTATAACTTTTATAAGCTGAAGTAATACAATTTTCAAAGATCAGAACAAAAATTAAATAAATAAATATTATAAGCAAGCAGTTGTCAGAAGCGAATGCGCTTTTAAAAAATTTTTAAAATTAATCTTTTTTTTTAAAAAATTCCCTATAAAAAATGTTCTAAACACGAGTAACCAATAAGCGTTACCAAAAATTACTGTTCTAACGGCATTCTTATACTTTTTTTCCTGCAGTAATATGACTTTTCGGGAAAAACTTTGAAGATGAATCACGTGAAGAACATAAAAGTTCCGTTTTTTTATTAATAACGCCGTGCGAACGACTGGCTCAAGATTATAATAACTATAAAAAAAAAACCAATAAAGAAAAATAATACATGTTTGGCACACCGCGAGGGTCCCAGTAACAGCCTTATAGTTACCACGTGCTAATAGCCCACGAAAAAAAGTTTGGAGCTGTACGCAAGCTCTCACGAGATTCTTTTTGTATATATTAGGAAATAATATAAGTCTAACAATATATAACTTTATTAATAACAAAATAACCTTTTTGCTTTCTTTTCGCAAAAAAAATCTTAAAAAACTTTGAATGCAAGTGGAGGAAAATTCTCTTTTTTCGGAGATTAATAAGTCAAGCGAAGAAATCTGCAGGAAAAATTTCATAAAACAAATCAATGAATGGAAAGCACGTGCCTTTTGGGTCCTTAGAAAGACCATTGTCCGTCCGAACTGAACGTCCGTGCAGAGCGGCGAGAAGAGTCGGCTTAAGGCAGCTTCTACAGTTTCGCGCAGTGTCGCACGTGGATCGGAGGGGCCTATAAGAATGGAGTATCTGTACAAAAGATTACTATTACATAAATCCTTAAATTAATATAAGAAATTAAAACTTTTTTATAAAATCCGAGTACATATATTTGTACGGGTAGCTCGCCTGAGCAATGCGAACGGCATCAACAATTCTAAAATGAAATTAAAAAAAAAAAAAAAATAGTTGTAGTAAAAAAAACCCAGAGGCGTGGAGTTGCTGTAAAACCATCGCGCCATCAAACAAGTAAATTTTGAATTATTTTTATCAATAACTTTTCTTTTTCGCTAAATAGCAAAGCAAAATAATTCTAGCGAGAAAAAAAAAATAAAACGCAATAATGATTGAAACAAACTTCCTCATTCACAAATACACCGCTCTGACACGCGTTGGGTTTTAAGCACCGAACAAAGTGAGATTCCGTTTTAGAAAGCGCATCGATCAACGTTGTGAGTGAATTCTTGAAATAAATAAAAACAAAAAAAAATTATAAAAAGACATTAAAAAAAAATTTAAATTAGTGCAACTTTGAAGCTTAAAGTAACGGTGGTTTTCTTAATCCCCTCATCGCACTAAAAAAATATACATTCATAATAATAATAATAATAGTAATAATAATAATAACAATAAGTAAACCTCAAGAAATAGATTCCTTACAAACTCATAGCGAGACGAGCGCATCAATTCCACATATTCAAATCCGAGATGATCCATATTCTTTTCCATAAATTCTACAAAAACATAAAATCAATAAAATAGAGCATTTTATTATATTTTTTGTTATGCATCTTGTCATCTTATTGGCTTATAATAATGATAAAAATACGCGCAGTCGAATAGGAAACGTCCATGGCGTAGTGGCGAATAGTAAAGAGCCGCGAGGACGCCCCTGACTTTTCCCCAAGAAAATATGGATTTGCTTTAAAAGTATTGTAAAGCCGCTCAGTGAAGGCTTTCTCATCGGAGCAAGTGCGATTCAGAAAGCATTGCTAGAAAGTAAGATATAATAACAACAATAATTAATTTTATAATGTTAATTTAAAAAAATTTATAATTCATATAATTATAATGGGTTTAAAATATTAGAATAAATAGATGTATAATTTTTAATAAAATACTAATAATAATACTCTCAATAAAAAAATTAGATAAATTTAATAGTAATAATAGCAAGTTTAATAAAAATAGAAAACAAAAAATTCAATAAATTATTAAAATAAATTGGATGGATTAATAATTTAATTATAATAATAACATTAAAAACTAAATAAATTTAAAGGATTAAAAATTATAATAATAATATTCAACTAAATAAATTTAACATGTATTAAAATTTATTAATAATAATTATAAGAATTATTAATTAATTAAAAATAATAATATTAATAAAAGGCAACTTCGCTTAACAAAGAAAACACTCCGGGAGATCCTTCCATCATCTCAATGCATTCGTGATTGTCTGCGTACTTTATGAAACTCCAATCTATTCCCTCTTCAAAGTAAACCTATTATAATAGCAATAATACTAAATAATAATAATCTTAAACAAATTTAAATTATAAATTATATAATAATTTCGATTAATAGTTTCTATATAAATTAAATTATATATAATAAGCACTTGTTGTTCCACTTTAAAAACGACAGAAACAAAAAGTTGCTGAAGTTTTTCATTAGCGTAGTTGATGCAAAGCTGCTCTAAACTATTTTCTTCAAACTTCTCAAAGCCATAGATGTCCAAAATGCCTACAAAGTAAATTAATTATAAAAAGATCTTGTTTTTTATAAGTGCATTATAAAATTACCAATTGTAAAAATTTCATTTTCACTAAAAAGGCTGTTAATTCTGTAAACAAGCCAATCAAAAAGGCGTTTATAGATATCTTTAGACAAACAATCGCGGAGCTGTTCAGATTCTCGTCTTGTGATTGGTGAATAAATTGTCTGTCCAAAAAAAAAATTTGCAAGTAGGAATTAATTTTAATAGAAAAAAGATGTGAAACTGATTAGTTAATAATAATTAAATTAAAAATCACATCTCGAAAAGCAACGATCTTTTTGTTCTGCAAAAGTTTAGCAAGATGCGCTGGGGCCACACCAAGTAACTCAGCAGCTTTACTTACACTGTGCGATTAAAAAATGTAAATTGTAAAATTGAATTAATGCATAAAATCAAAAATCAAATAAAATATAAAAGGTGGATATATATATATATATAATATATAATATTACGCTCTAATGATTTACAATAAAAAATAAAAAAATTTAAGGTTGTAATTTTAAAATTCGAATAATTAATTATAGTAGTAATAAAATAATATACGTATTAATTTCAAAAAATAATAATTTAAAGAACCTCGAGCCCGGCCCAGTAACCACAAAACTTTTTCCAAATTTTTCTTCTGGAAAAATTTGCCCCAAATAAAGAATTCCTGCGAGTATACGGAAAAGATCTTCCTAAAAAAATTAGATAAAATTGTTTGCGCAATAAATATAAATATTTTAATTAAAAGAAAACCTGTAGATCTTCGCCGACATTAAGTGCGCGCAAAGCAGAAATAGTATTTTCAAAATCGCTCTCTTCATCCTCAATTGTTTTTTCATGTAAACTCAGCTAAAGGAATTAATAATAAAGAAATTTACAAAAAGTAAGAGAAAGCGAAAAAAGATTAATTTAAAAAGTATACAAAATTTAAATTGGTCGCCCTTCTCTCCTTAAAAAAAGGAATTTTATGATTCTTATCTGTACGTTGAGTGTCTCGCCTCGACAAGCATTTCTTCATAAATTTTATGTATCAAAAAACGAAATCTAAATGCTGGTAAATTAAAAAACCTACTGAGGACGAGAATTCGCAGCGATAGCGATACTGATCTCGCACGGTATAGTAAAAGTTTTCTCTAGTGAGGCCCGTAAGGAAATAGCGAGATCGTTGTTCTTGAGTTCCTCCAGCACAAAGCTTTTGTGCAATTGAACGAGCATCATTAAAACTTAATCGGAAGATGAACGCTATAATTTTTTTAAAAAAATAAAAAACCTGATAAAATATATGAAACGTTTTTTCCCCAAAAGCGTGCGCAATAACGCGAGTCTTTTCTAATAAATAAGTGTCAACGCGAGCACCACAAATTTTCAAGGATTCGTCTTGAAAAAGATTTAAGCAGTAGAAATTTTTAATTTTTTTTTTTGGAAAGCAACAGTCGCTGATACCAAGCTGGACGCGGATGTACTTTCCAAAACGCGAACTGTTAGCATTACGAAGTGTAGAGGCGTTTCCTTAAAATAATTTATAATATATTTAAATTTATATAATAAAAAAAAGTTCAGAGACCAAAAGATTCTAAAATTAATCCGGTGGATAGCAAATGCTGCTCAATAACACTTTTTCCTAAAATTTCGTGGTGGGAAAATGGAATCACAGAAGCGAAGTACTCCAGTAAATACCGACATGAAACAGTCTAAAAAGGTAATTATAATTTTATTAATACTCAAATATATCAAAATGATTGTTACTTTCCCAGAGCCGCTCTCCCCGGAAACAATTATACTAGCAGAACGTTGCTGGTTGACAAGAATCTGATAGGCCTGCTCGGCTACTGCATAAACGTGTGGAGGTAGTTCGCGTACGTTCTTTTTAGTTTAGTTTATAATAATTTTTTTTGCATTGAAATTAATCAAGTGAGGTTAACTTGCGAGCGATTATATCTCTCAATGAAATCCTTTCCATAAATTGCGATCGGCCTCATTGGATTAACACCTATTAAGGCAGGGCCTAAAGAATAAAGTAGCAAACAGAAAACTTTTTAAGTGTAACCGAATCATTAACAAGAACCTGAATAAGTGTAAATGAGTCCCTTGTTAAATCTATTCTTTATACAGTTAAAAACTAAAAACAAAAAAAATAATAAGCGTATAATATATAAACTATTATTATTCAGAATCTATATAGTTTATAGGTATGTAAGGTAAAACACACCTGCAGTTTCGTTCAGTGGCTGAAGCTTACAGAGGTCATCTTCTAACAAAACGTTAGAAGACATATACGAAGAATCACTACAGAAGTTTTAACTGATTAGCAACTAACAAACTATTGAACCCAGCAAAGAGCAGAAAAAAATACCTTACCATTAGGTGGCTGTACTATTTACATACACTTTTCTAAACTTTGTACTACGGCTTCGCTCCCTAACTTTTAAAATATATTCGTGAATTAACTTTAACAATATCAGCTTTTTAAAAGCTAGCCTTCACCAAAGAATATTAAAAATGATCGTTTTATAATATTATATTTAATTATAATAACTTGAAAAAGTTTCTTCACAATTTTTATTTGAACAGCTGTTAAAACGCAAAATTGTTAACTCGAAGTCAAGTTCGAGCCCAACAAGAAAAAAAATTTACTGCAGGCTAGCGCTTTTTAACGTTCCCAGCTTTCAAAACAAAAATAATAGGTTTATACCCCGAAGATATGAGGCTCAAACTATGTGGTACGTCAGCGTTGCAGATATATGAATCTGTTAATCTTGCTTAAATTTGAACTATTCTTAGTTGAGTCGCGTTTGTAACAGATTTTAAAAATGGGCCTTTACTTGTAATAACTACTTCATAAAAATTTTCTTTGTATTAACTTATATTACTGTTGTTATATTTCTATTATGTACTGCACAATTAACTCCTTACACTGACCAAAGTTTAACTGTGACTATTTTAATGCAAAGGATTATTTTTTTTTTTAAACTATAAAATATAGCGTTAAAAAGTGTGTTTGCTATATCAAAACTAACTTGAGGTGTTAATCTTTAAAAAATATCTAAATCATTAGTTTTTCTTGTTTGCACTGGATGCCTCTTTAAAGCGTTTCGCTTCCCTAATTTGAATAAGTTTTCTTTTTTATGCATTTAGAAAGTAATTATATTTCTTTAGGTAGGCAGTTTTACTACGTAATTAATAAAAACCAAAGTTTAGCACTTCGCATCCACTAATACTATAAGAGTAATACCCTTCTCCACCAACTTATATTCGAACTGGTTGCTTTATATAGCAGATTACACAACTTAGAAATGGACCGGTGTATCTTTTGTGGCAACTTTCAGTTTATATTACGCTATTTTTTTTTACAAAGCTATTGACACAGAGAGGTTCCTTTTGTAAAATCAAGTCTAATCACTTATAACCTAAATTTACATAGTTTTACAAATTAATACCCCAGCTTAGGCCATCTTTAAAAAGTTTCTTATTAACCCGAAATATTTTATAACTTATACTGTGTACTTTATAAAAATAATTTGGAATTTATTGTCTTCTTACCTTTTTTTAACAATTTATGCAAAAAAAGGTACTTCACAACACTAAAAACTGCTCGATTATTTAATTAATATCCCTTGAATCCGCATTGCTATAATAATCTTTGTAATTTTATACTCATTATTTCCAAAAAAATATTAGGAGACGCACCCCTTTTAGAACCCAAAAGAGGTCTAAAATTTCAGAAGATTCTTTATATAATTCTAAGTTAAAGCACTACTATTTTTCTTTGAGATGCAAAAACTTTTTATTAGACACGTTCTAGAGAATCATTAGATGAATAGTAAAAGTGATTTTCTTGATCTACACGCGCTGAGGTCCATTAGCGCATCGTTTTTAATATGCGCTGTTTAACGAATTAAGTCGAATATGAAAAATAATATTTTATTCCCTCATACTGAGCGGTTTATAAAAAGTTAAAATCTAAAAGCAAACTCGATATGGTCAAATAGTTTTTACTAAAGAATAGAGTACTTTTTTAAATTATTCTTTACAATTATATTGCTGACTGCATAAAAAATACTTTTCATGCAATCGGTATCAATCGCGCGCGTAAAGTAAGGATATATGAGTATCTTCGAATTCACATTTAATGAAAGAAAACTTCTTAAAATAAAGCTTTGGACTTCCTCAAAATTATGTGGGCCGCCTAAAAAAGATTCACAAAAGTTGTGATATATTGAACTAAGTAGGGCTGCTTTACCTTTATATTCTGGAAAATTCTCATTAAAAGGGATGACTTTTAACTTTTTCTTAAGCAAGTCTATCTTGTTTATCAAAAGTATAAATGGGTGCTCTTTACAAAACTCCTGGTTAAGTGTTTCCTCAAAAAAATACATAGCCTCCCGAAGGCGGTTCTAATATAACTTTTAGTTAAAACTAAGTAGCAAACAGATAGCTCTGCGTGTTAAATAAATCTGTATGCGGCTTACGCCTTGGTCGTAATCACTGGCTGAAACTATAAAACAAGTGGCAGTCGCTTCTAATGAATTGGTTTATTAGTAATAAAAAAGTATGTTAATGTATTAACCCGGAAGGCAGTGCATCCATTTTATTCGTTGCGAGCGATGCCCTCCAATATCAACAAATTCAAAATGCCTGCCTACAATACCTTTAGAAACTTGAAAACTTCAATAAACACAACTTCACCTTTTATGGTAAAGTTATGCCTCGAAAGATCACCAGAAGGTAATCGACATTTTAAAATATCTTTTACGGAGGGTATATACCCAGTAAAGTTAATTCTTCCATCACAAAGAGCATTTAAGTAACTGTTGTATAGTAAGCTTAAAGAGAAGAAACTTGCAGAATTTTTAACTTTCTTTACTATTCTGCTGAGTCCATTAAATTAAATTTGGAGCGCATCTCGTAACACTTTTTAATGGAACTGGACGCCCACAACCTTATAATGGTTTGATAAGTTTTTTCGTTAAATTGGTAGTGGTCGTTAACGTCTTGCATTAACAAAAAATCTTCCAACTCCTAATTGAAGTCAGCAAAGACAATCAAGAGACAAAAATATTATATACACATAATTGGGAAATATCATCATCCTTCTCGGCTATACAAAATTTCCTTCGGTTTATAATTAAAAGTTTCATAGATTCGTAAATATTATAAAAGATTATAGGAGCAAATTCAGTTAACTCAAGAGTACTAAATCCCTTACTGTAAATAATTTTAGCTTGTTTTAAAATAGTGGTTTTTCCAGATCCCTCCATGCCTTATTTAAATGTACAGGTTAGCTCAATTTCACGGTGGTATTTAATAAGAGTAAAAAGTCAGGATACCAACCTAGTAAAACCACTTTTCCAAATTCTTTTTTCTTCTTTGTCTTGGTTTCAACCCTTTTCTTGACATCCACGTCCAACCATACCCCTCTCAGAGCGCCAGCAACTTTGAAACCACCCATAGAAAAGAAGCGAGCAAGCAGAAGACGCAGAAAAATGACTACAGGCACCCACGTAACAAGAAGCCCACCGTCAGGGCGGTATATATGTTCTGCAATTTATGCATTTTTATTAACTCTTCTGGTCTAAATCATCCAATAAAAATTTTTGAAGAAACCTTTCGAGAAACTGACCATTAAAATTCACTGTTGCCATAACAAGAGTTTGCCACACCTTTAGAGCTACAGGTCGCGAAGGCTTGATTACTAGCAATAAAGGGGGCACTACAGAGTTAGCTAAGAACTTTTTCAAAAACAGTTACTGAGTGGAAAAGTAAAAATTATGCCTTTACTTCCTTAGGTAAAAGCAAAATACATCAAACTAACTGTAAACGCCCTCTATACTATTTCAAAGCAGTACTTACTTCTTTCAAGCTTGAGAGGCAAAAGTTAAACTTTTTAAAAGAAGGGATGGAAAGCTACAAGTAAGGGACAAGAGTTTAATTGTCAATGTAATAAATACCAAAGTGGGCTGTGCAACGAGCTATAAAATTGTACATTACTTCTTAAAGTTGACGCACAACATTAAATATGATGTCAGGGAGGTGGAAGGCTTGAATAAAATAGTGGGACCAACCGTTTTCAAATTATATACGATTTTTTTTTTATCAAAAAAAATAATCTTAATATTAGAGTACTGTATAAAAATTATTTTAATAATTTTTTTTAAGATTTTTAAAATTTTTTTTAGTAAAAGTGGCTAAGTTGGAAGAAACATAAACATTGATCTTTAGATTTTACTTGTAAATTTTTACCAATAGGACAATAGTAAAAGGCAATTTTTTTAACAAATATAAACTGTAGATTCTCGCTAGCTCGGGACTATAGCAATACTAATTAATTTATATTTGGAATTTTAAATACTTATAGCGTGGTTTGAACATTGCTTGCTTTTATATTGTTTACTTCCCATTTAAAACAAAGGTAGCCTTATTAGTGTTGCTTATAACCATTAAAACAAAATTTAGCTCGAATTTGGTGTTTAACGGTTTTGCTACAATTTTTTCTCAAGGATTACAATAATTTGCACAAGGAGGTAGTGACTGCTCCCAGAAAAATGGAATCGTAGATATAGTTTAATGTTTCACTTAACCAAAAAATTTAGTTGCCTTTCAAGCTGTTTATGTACCTCCACTGTCTTTGGTAAAAGGTAATTCGTCCTTCTAGGGCAAATTATAGCACAGCACTTACTTTACAAACAAAGTTATATAGTGATCGACATTTAATATTATTCTATTCTTTATGGTACTGTAATTATTGTGACCTGCCTGGGAGACTAATGTTGCCACTAACTGCCTCATTACTTTCGGAAATATTAACTTTTGACTAAAATCTCTTTTAAAGCATCCAGAAGTGGGTTAACGCTTACTCGTCCATCCCAGTGTGTCGTTAGCATCTTTTTAAGTTTTTGTACTAGAGCCAGCTCAAAAAGGAAATAAATTCATTTTAACTCATCTTCTCATAAGATTTTTTGGGTTGATATGTTTAAACTACTATAAATATATCAATCTCCAGTGTCAACTCGATTATATTTAATCAGCTGTCGCACGGCGTTGATATGCATACTGAGTAATTACTACGAAAAAAAACTTTTTGCTTGGTGAAACCTTGTACGTTGCATGACTAACTATTGGGGTTACTTCAATGTAGCATTAAAAAATACATTCCTCGCTATAACGCAATTATAAACCACTTCGAGTTAAACTTTGCTTCTTTAGCTAAAGTAATTGCACGATTTCGTATGTAGCCCAAAGCCTTTTCTAAATAGGAAGTGATAACAGTTAGAATACAGTGCTAACCCTTGCTTGTAGTATGGATCCTGCAGGTATATGCATCTCGACCCACTTTAAAAATTCTTTATCTTATGAATAAGCTAATAATTAATATGTGCACCGAAAAAATTTAGACCAGATTGTACAAGATTAATACGACTTACAAACAACTCTCATAGGCCACGTTCATATAAAAATGGCAAAGATAGTCTTTCCCTAGTGCGAATACCTGTACAAGTTTATAACCATAAGCAAAACAAATTTAAAGCCATGTCTCAAGAATTTGCATAACACAAGAGACACTGGCGTGACTATCTTATAAGCTATACTGGTTATACTGAGGCGTCGACCCGCTGGCGGAGAGCAGTTTATTAATCTTACAATTAATGATAACTGATTATGTTAACTTGCAACCGTAGAATTAAAAATTACTTTTGTTGCAATTCTTTAGTTTAAGTTTTTTAAAAAAAACCATCTCTATAATCTATATGATATTTTTTTTTAGTGGACGATTCGTGATAATTAAAGACATTGAACTGTCTACTCTTTAATTAAAGAAAATATTTATATTAATGCCTTACATAATAGTAAAGGGAATTTAGCCTTATTTGTTTCTAATACTCTTTGTAACTCAGCCTATGGTCATGAATTTAAATTAATTTAGGCAATTCTCCACTTTTCTTTCATTATTTCATTTGGTTCCCTTTTATTCTTGTACTCTTTTCCCGCTCTTTAATTACTTTTGTATTTAGCAACGGTAGATCAAAGAAGATCCTGCTAGCCGTTTTCACACTAAGAGTCTAAAGCCTACAACGTTAACCGAAGATAGTTGCTTCTTGCCAACACCGCTCCAATCCTTTAAATTACGAGCGAATTATTTTCCTTATCACGTTACCCCGTCAAATTATTTTGTTTCGACTTAACATACACCTGAGAAGAAGCGAATGTTGTAATGCAAAAAAGGTTAATACACAATATAGGGGGTAATGCTTTTTAGCCTAACGGCCCACCCTACAAGAGTGCAAGGAAATAATACTGAAAAAAATATAAAAATAATTTTTTTTTTGTTTGAAGCAGCCTCATATACCGTAAATTTTTTTTTTACAAAGATTATATAGATTCAATGTAAACTACTCTAACCACTAGGTAATGAGTGCATTGCATGGTTCCAGTAGTAGTTTTATGTACATGGAGGGGCACTTATGTTTTTATACTCAAGGGTATCAACCGTCTAAAATTGCAAGCAATGATCGCATTTTATACTTTTTGAACTTTTATTAAACTTGTAACACTCAATTTTACTTTCAAATAATGCTAACCTAAAAATTTTTGGTCTTGATTAGTTAGGTTAGCTTCCTTGTTTTTAGGTAAGGCAAAGTTTACATTTTGGCCTAAATTCATGAGATTTCTTAATTTCATTTTTTTTTTCTAAAAATGATATTGCCAACTAATACTGAATATATTCTCAGTTACTTTGATATTTAGTCAGTAACTGCCCGTGAGTAGTCGATACGTTACTTTAATGGAGGGTTAGTACTTGCGGTTAAGAAATGCCCTTGTCAAACTATAATTCCGGCCAACAAAATTAAAGCTTTGTTTTGCGATCTGTTATTTCTCTAATTTTTCTTACTAAAGCAGCTAATTTTCCTTAGTTTTATTAAATTAAGGTTAGTAAACTTTGTGTTATTTTATTATATTTTCAGAGTTTTGCTTATTTACACTTTCTATGTGTAAAATAATTTTATCCCATTTAATTAAAAAATAAAATTTTTGCTCATTTACTTGTACGCTAGACTAACCCTCGCACACCTGTTTCCAAGACAGTTAATATAAGCACAACTTAGCACTGTAGACCGGAAACAATGATCTTGACTTACCCTTTAGACACTAAAGTTTTATTATTTCCGCCCTTTTAGAAATTACAGAGGCCAATGCTAAGCAGAAAATGTTTTAATTTAATTATATTTTAACATAATTTATATAATATTGCATATTCGCGGTATTCCCGAGAGCAGATTACTTAATCTGGTCAGTAATAATAGTCACCTATATGAGTAGCCTATGATCACATGAAGAGCGTGCTTTCAGGCTACAACTTCTTCTTATATCACAAAGGGGGCTGGTAACACCTTTACAATACACATATTTAAGTTTTTGCATGGATGGTCATTTCTTAGCGACTGCGCTATGGAGGAATTCTTAAAGCTGGCGATACGGATGTCTTCGTGAGGGGTTTTGTTGCTTGAAATGTACAAATCGTATTAGGCGAAGCTTCTTGCGGTAACACACCTTGCTTTCTGCGCGCACTAGCGGGTAAATTGTTCTCTGTCCGCCGCCATGTTGTCACCACGAAAGTTTGTAGTCGAGTATTTCAGAAAGCATAATTAGATTTCCTGGTATTCAAAGATAGGACTCGTAGCGATGTAATATCAACTTTATATTTTAACACTTGCGCGGTACATATATAATTTGTTGCATTAGTAGTCTTCCGTCTTTAAGGAAAAAGTGCGCAGTTGCCAATTAGTGTTTAGCTGAAAAAGTATCAATGACCATCTCGAAGGGCTGAGGGGGAGCGGAAATATATTGGGCTCGGACACCCATCATTCAGTTTAGATAATAAAGAACTGCTAGACTCTCCCACCAGGAGAGGTGACTTTAAATTCTAAACTTGAGGACTCCTGAAGACACACTTGCTAGCTAGACTTCCCCGGTTATCACCCCTCATCTTAGGCAGGAAGCTTCTTGCCTTTATTTTCTATGACTGCTCTTATAAAAAACTAAATTTCTTAACTTTTTTATCCTCTCTAGAAGATTGGAAACATGAATTCTCACCAGTATTATTCATCAAAGGTCTATGATAACTACACTGAATACTGAGAAACCGTGGAGTGATAAATTCCTAAAATTGGTACGTGAGGCGGCACGGACACTGAGCCGAGGTCTCCCTAGATATCAGCAGCCCATGTAAATTTATTTTCGAACACAAAAAATTACGATTATCATCCTTGCTATGATAGAAATAATCTAGAAAAACAGGAAAGGATGTGAGAGTAGTGAAGAGAATTATAATCTAAAAAATTTTTTAGTACAGTTATAAATTTAAAAATATCTTCAAACACAAAACACTCTTCCAGCAAGCTGTTACGAAGGATCACCGATTATTGCTTTAGATAGCTACACCTATTTAATTAGTAATGAACGGTATCCCAGTTCACCGCTTCAAATTATAATCATTAACAGAGGCACTAACAAACTGATAAAATTTATAAATACTGATTAAATAAATTATTTTTTACACACTCCTAGAATATAATCATTTACTGTATTGCCAAAAAAAATTAAGTTAATAACTTAAATAATGCATGCAATTTTATTACTCGTAAACCATCAATAATTTGTTAAAATTTTTGGATTGCTTGATTAAATAACGAAAATTTGTTAGTAATGATGAGTTAACTTATCGAAATTAAACTCATAATACTGTTTGGGCTCGAGAAACACCTTTTGACGAAGTAATCTGAATAAAAATCCCTTTGCCTAGACAGCGCACTTCCTGCTTGCTATAACTAATTTACTAGCCAATCAGCAGCATTATGTAAGCTGGCACATGCCAATACTGTAAATACAGAAATTCATTTTTTTATAACATTAACACAAACTTTCTAAATATATAATTTCCTTGAAGTTAGTAGTATGAATATTCTTGCTTCGCTGCATCACGATGTTTGTCGTTCTTGGCAGGAGCCTAACTTGCAAGCTAAACATTTAATTTATCCACTTTTTATAACCTCAAAGTCTGAAAGCTCTATCATTGAAGGTATTTGTTGTAAAAGCTTTAAAGAATAATAAGGTTATACCTATAGGTTTTGTATCAAACAAGCGTTGGGGATCTGGCGTTAATAGGGATTATAAAGAACTTGTCGTGCATCTTTCTAAATTAGTTGAAAAAGGTCAATCTTTTAATGTTTTTTTTCTAGTAATTTTATTTTTTTATTGTGTGCAGGACTAAAGGCTGTTATGCTGTATGGAGTTGTAACGCTTGATGAAAAGGATTCCGTTGGAACTTTCGCTAACTGTCAGGAATCTCCTGTTATTATCTGCGGAAAGGTTGGACAATTATATATAGAAGCCTATTCTCTCTCTGAGCTGGTCCCTTATTAGATTTTAAAAAGGAATTTCCTAATCTTTTATTGTGTTATGATGTATGTCTATGTGAGTACACTGATCACGGTCATTGTGGTCTTCTTCGTTCTTTTGAAAATGAAAAAGAGCCTTTAATTAACACCTCAGAATCCGTCAAAAGACTTTGTGAGATCGCACTTTCTTATGCCCAAGCTGGTGCACATATGGTAGATTTTTTCTAATACTAATTTTTAAGAGATAATGCGAAGCCCTAGTAATCTATAAAACAGTTATGCCCTTCAGACATGATGGACGGAAGAATAAAACTAATTAGAGAAATTTTAAACTCGAATGGATTTTCTCACGTTGCGCTCATGTCGTACACTTCTAAAAGGCATCCACCTTATATGGCCCTTTTCGTACGGCTGTAGAGTCTACTTTTATGGGTATACCAATAAAGAATTTTAATTTTAAATTAATAACGAAACGTTCTCCTCTTTATACTTAGTTACTCACGCGCTTTATACCTGCATAATTTATTTTTTTTTTTAAAATCAGGCAATCGCAAACGTTATCAGCACCCAATAGGGAGTAGCCTTACGGCTTTGAAAGCTCTGAAAAGAGACTTAGCGGAGGGCGCTGATTTTGTAATTATAAAACCCAGGTTTGTTTTTGTATTATTATTATTCTTTTATATTATTAATTGAGCAACAGCCTCTTTTATGGAGATCTTATTAAAACATTTTCTACTGCTTCTACTGTTCCTGTGGTGGCCTTCGTCGTATCGGGAGAGTATAAAATGATTTACGACTATGGGCACGGCACGCATACTTTTGAAGAGGTGCTTCTGTAGTAAGTTATAGCAAGTTTGCTTTTTCACATATTTCTTTTTTATATAGATTTTACGGGAATCTCACACTAGTTTACTCCGAGCGGGGGCTTCCGTTATTATTACTTATTTTACCCCCGAATTGCTAGAATATATTCCCCGCTGGAATTAAAGAAATATGTCTTCAGAACGAAAAGCACGTGCATATTTTTATTAAATAGTATTGAGCGCAAGCTAGAATGGTAAAAATTGTTGAATATAGAAAGGTAGTTCGATGCGTGTTGGTTTTTAGTGAATCACTAAATATTTTTGTTTTATTGTGAATTCAGTGCTTTATATAAAGTAGGAGGATTTTGGGGTAATGCAAGAGCATTTGTATTGATATATATATATTTTTAATTAATTAAGTATAAGAATATTGAAAGTAGATCAGCATAACCGCTCTTTGCATTCCTTCTTTACTTACAAAAAAAAATTTTCAAAACATAAGTGGGAGTTTTTTAAATCAAGATTAGCTCTATAGGTTAAGAATTCTCATTGTTGATAAGTAGTTTATTATCGTTATAATTTTATAAAGTAACTCATAATTATATTATTATGATAGATAAAATTTTTAAATAATAGAAATTTCAAAGGGTATTAACTCTCTCCTTGGAACAATTCCTGTTAGTTTTTGGTTATAAACCAAAAAATAATAGCGCAAGTAATAATAGATTTACTTTGGCTTTTACTAGTATGGAATCTTTGCTAGGATCATAGCGAACATCTTTGGAGGGTATTTCTAAGACACCTGTTTAAAAAATTTGTTAATATAAATGGTTTAAAGATTATTGAAGAAAGCAAAGTCAAGTCGATAAAAGTTAAAGATTTTCAAAGAGTTATTAAATAAAGAGTTGATTCTGAAAAGCAAGACATGGAATATTTTTTGAGTAGGCATCCACCGCATAGCGAATTTTTTCTGCTATGTGCTGATTAATTAAAACTATTGCAATGTCGTCCCGCTCTGTGAAACTATGAAATTTTTCTTCGATTGCTTCCTTAGTTGTGTCTAAAGAGGGTATCTATAGTCAATTATTTTTAAATATATTCTTGGATTACTTAGAATAACTGAAGTTATTTATTAGTAACAACCTGGTTTTACTATGTAGAAATTAGATTCTTTTTCTTTGCCACAACTTCCGATACCTGCCAATAAAAATCCTGTCACGGTATCCTGAAGTTACGTGTAGTATTATTACAGTACAAACCTTCTTTACAAAGTATATAAAAAACCTCTGTTCCAATAACAGCTATTAACTTTTCGTTTTTATCCATTAAAGTATTTTTTTTAACAAAAGTACTTTATAATCTTTTTTATAGATTAATAATTTTAAATTGATAGGCTAAAAACTAAAGTTTTGAACTAAAAAGGACAGCGCTTCGCTAGTAAAAATATATTTTATGAGGTGTAAAAAAGAGGAAAGCCTTCCCGGTGGCCGACCCTTTTGGTAGGTTTTCGTACTTCTAGTTCTAGTGGTGATGGTTTACGTTGGCGCGTTCTGTACCAAGCCAATTAAAAAAGCTCGTACGGTTTTATTTTAATTAGTTGCTGCTTAGTATTATAACACTTCGTTGCGTTACACACTTGTAATATTTTTAAATAACACAATAAAGTAAAGGAATTAATTTATTTTTTATTTTTCTCTCTTTTTATCTAATAGTTTTTAGGATATAGGGCCTTTTGTAAAGTTAGAAAGACGTTATAAATTTATATAATCTCCAAGTAGAAGATATTGAGCCTTTATTAGCATACTCCTTTTTAAGACAATATTTTTTTAGCTGAAATATTACAACAGATTCAAATCGTACATAGGTTTGTTTTTTGTGTAACATCTAAGCCAATTGACTTTTTTAGAAGAAAAGTAGTTGTTTAACATTTAAAATTTCATTCTTATCCACACTTTGCTTATCTAATACTCTTTGGATTTTTTTTTAATTTTTCTTAGACATTTAAATGTTTATAACTAAGTTGAATTGTGATACATATCCGTAAATAAAACATATTTTAAAAATACCGTTAGTCGTATATAGCATTTACCTGCTTCAAATGTGGAATAACTTCTAAACACATGGTAGATTTAAGCGTTAATTATTTTAGTCACATTTTTATAAAAATTTTTCTGTTATTAAAGTATTTATAAAGTAATTTTGTTCCGTTGAGGGAGAGTAGCAAAGTGTTTTTTATTGAGCAAGACGCCGCTACAGACTCCTATTGCTCATAGTAAAAAAAAAACTAAAATTAAATGTATTTTTTCTGGTATAAAACAAAATAAATGTAGACTGAACTATAAACTACCCATCCCCAATTCCGTTACATTCAGAAATTAGAGAAAGGTAATCTTTTAATGGGGAAGTTCGTGTTAGAATAGGAAAACTAAATTTTCCTCGTTAAAAAGTGGAGCAGTTTGTTAAGTCTGCCAGCTCAGCCTCGCTATGGAATCTATTTGAGCCTTCAAGCCGAGCTATTAAAATGGTTCAGCACTACTTTTTTGCATGGTTTCACTACAAAGTTGAATATTTTTTATGCACGTTGCGTTTATAAAATAAAAATTTTCCGTCATCTACTATATTTTCTTTGTTTAAGGTTTCGTAATTGCTGTCTGCCTTCATCAATCTTATAACTTTTTTTTACTTAACTCACACAATATGTTGGGCTATATACCCTTTTTTCTGCAAATTAAGGTAAAATCAGTCCAAGTTAAAAAGATCCTTAAAGCAGTTTTGCTTATGTACTGAGAACTTATTAAAGTTGTTTTTACTTAATTTTTTTCTTTATAAACAAAATTCTTTGCGTTACCCTTTTTAAACTCTCTAGACGCCACTGATAATGGCAGCGGCTTATATATTAATCGTATTATGCTCTTTAAAATTTATTTAACTCTAATCGGCAGTCGTTCAAAAACAGTAATCAGAATTTGCTATCTTCTTTTATTCTATTTATATTTAAATTTTAAATTAACTTTTTTATGAAAAAAAAGATCTAACCTCGGTCGTGGCGAGTACCCACCATTAACTGTCTATAATGTTAGGTTACAATTCATTATAAATCAAAATTTACTCTAATACTAAATTGCTGGAATACCGAACCTTTAAGGGAGTAATAAACAAAATAAAAAAGCTAATCATTGATTAGGGAAATCCTGCGCCCCACCAGGACATTCTTTTTCTCCACGAACGCACATGAAATGATTTAGAAAAAAAATTGTTTCTACATTCTAATTATTGCACCTACTCAAGTTGTACTGATCTAAATTTTTATACTTTAAAACTTGTAAGCCTATAGAATATTTTAAAAACTTTTTATTAACAATGAACTTTTAAACTTCCAGTGGTTTTTTTACTTTACGTAAGCCCGTTCTGTTCATTAACTTTCACAGAGCCCTTTAAAAATTCTGCTTTAATTTTAATATATATTAAATTTTATACATAAAAAAAAACTTTGAATTCTTATTAAATTTAAAAGGACTCTCACAATTGTTGAAAGCAACAAAACTGCTCCTCGATTTAAAATTTACCGAGAAACGAGGAAAATACTGAGCAAAAGTTGGCTCTGTATCGCTTAATAACAAATAGTGCGCGGATGACAGCAACAATACAAAGATCCCCGCAGCGGAACAGCCACGTGGAAGATGTCGAGTAACGCGCACAGCGAAGCAAGGATCGGCGGATGCCGCTTAAAGCGCGCTAGAAAAGTAAATTTTGTGCGTTTACCCTCCTCGTGAGTTTTAAGATGCTCTAAAACGACTTCTTCGCTGATGATGCTTTCACCATTTTCCAGTACTGGCTCTTCGCTGGATGGCGCATCTCCAGTAATAAACTACAAAAAATATTTTGGAAAAAAAATTTAACATATATATATAAATTGGCATTATTCCACCCCAGTCGGGGGCTGCTGTTCATCCTCGCTTTCGGTGAATTCTGGATCGTGACCAATAAAAGATTGTTTTCGCTTTTCATAGCTTTATTGGATTCTTCGTAGGAGGAATTAAAATTTCTTTTCTTCATTTTTTCGCTGTTATTCTTAAAACTGCTTTTATTAACGAATAGATCTAAAGTTTCTATTAAACGCGCGCTTTAAGAGCATCAAACCTTCGTTTATTAGATTTCGCTGGAGATTTTTTTTTGGGTGTGATTTTAATCTGGACAGAATCAATATTCGGCTCCTTTAGATTTATTAAATATAAATTAGTTTATACGGTCTAATACATTTTAAAAGACCTTTAAAAAAGCCAATATGTTCTCAATTACGCTATCTTTCGTACCTGAGCGATGCAGTCCTGCAAAAATTTTGAAATTAAAAATACTAATTATGAAGTTGAAGAGCTACCAAGTACGGCAGACATGTCCTTTAACTCTTGTAAAGTAGCTCTATTTAAAATCTTTTCAGCTCTTTCCTCTTCGAATTTGCTAGAAGGATCAAAGCCGCAAAATTCCCTAATATTGTGCTTAACTTTCCGTAATTTCCCAGGCCGTCCGAAGAGAGCACGGTGAAGCTAAATTTGGTTCATAAATTTGTAAATAATGATGAGCGGGAGAAAAAATTACTAAATCAGTCAGAAGATTGCATTTGTAAAATTTCAATATAAGATTAGAAAATAAGAAAACTTAGCTTATAAAACACTAAAGGTTTTCTTATAGTGCTGAAATTCGTTAGCAATAAGGATTAAAAAATTATAAGAATTTCTTTGCAGGTAAACAAATAAAAAGTGTCGTAAAAAAACCAATCTCAAGTCAGCAGCAGTAGTTTTTCCAATCATTTCTGCTACATATGCTATCTGGCCTAACTTTTCGCTTCCGACCAAAACAGCCACAAAAATTACAGTTAAAAAATAAGTAAAGCTGTATTGATTTTTATAATAAATTATATAAAGTACCCTTTGCCCTCTGGCACTTCCACATCCTTTCTATTTTGAAGTTCAGTTGGAATGAAAAGTTCAGTGGAGCGGCGATGGCGGGGGCCTTAGGGGGGAACTTTAAGTCACAGTAGAGGATTATGACGGCGAAGATACTAAAGACCTTCTTGTATCAAAGGTTGTTCTAAAAGTCCAGGCAGAGGAGATTCTTCTTCACTTGTTTCAGTTTCTAATAAAAGATTAAAAAAATTTCCTAAAAAAATAATAAAAATCTTTACCAGCAGAACCCTCTTTTTCTTCAGTTTCTCCTTCCTTATAGACGTTCCCCTCCACTTTCATAGAATGAACAGTTGCTTTCAAAGATTAAGAGGCTTAACAGCTACTATAATCTAACTTTAAGAATACTTAGAACCTTTAACCTCCGAATTAAAGTTTTTGTTAAGCGCGGGATTAGAAAGAGCAAAAGTTCTTTCCTTTATGATAGAAAGAAGCTCTCATCAGTCGTTAAATTTATTAAAAAAAACCTTCTAAATTATAAAAATCTTTACTTTGTTTTGATCCGGTATCGCCTCTATATCGTTAGCATAAGGTCCAGTATTCTGTATATTAAAAACTTCTTGTTTATTTTTTTCTGGATGAGCCGAATTTTCCTCTAAGTTAACTTTAAGGCTTACCTCCAGAGTATCTATTTCCTTTACAATAAAGACAAATATTTAAGATTTATTTAATGAAAAATGAAAATGTTAGTGTTCTTCCACCTCCTTAATAACCTTCGAGTCAATAATATGATCCAGCTGAGGAGTTAAAGTAAATACGTCCATTTAAACTTTAAAATAAACAATAATAAAGAAATCTGGGCGCTAGCAGAAATTTGAAATGGAGGGCGATAAGATTTTTTCGGGCCTGCAAGGTCTCCCATGAATGAAAATTCGATACTTGTAGATTGGAGTACTTTGCGCACCTTTTACTAGATGTTTTAAATCTTACTCTTCACTTTATATTGGTTCATGCTGGCCCCCATAACTCAATATTTTCTTTTTTTCTTTTACTAAAGAAAAAATCATTAAACTAAGTTGAAGTAGTGTAAAGCTTGTAATGAAATGCTTTTAAGATCAACGAAGTTTTTTATAGTAGACTCCCTCATTTTCTTTGTTTCTACTTTTGTGTTAAAGTTTTATAAAATTTAAAACCTTTGTATAAAATAGATTTTTTGGATATCGCATGTATAATATGTGTGTTAAGAAACCATCGGAAATAGTGAAAACCTCTTTTATATTCAAGCCTGACCTGCGCGCTTAAATACATGTTTTCACTATTTATCTCTTTACATGTTACTCTTCATAAACTTATTTTTAAAGAATTAAAAACTATTAGCCAAAAACAGAATTTGAGACTAAAAAAATCATTAAACTACACGATTAATTTTCAAGTGTTATCTTTATAAATTTTAGGCTTTATAGGAACACTCAGGAATATAAAAATAAAAAAAACCTATCTGATATTTTACCGAGCAAATAGTTTTAGTAACAGTAAAAAATCAGTGTTTCACGGACACTTGTTAGATCAAGCAGTAAAGAGAATGTTTACAATAACAACGATAATAAATATAAGTAATAGTAGTAATAGAGGTAACAACTTGAATAGTTTAGATTAATGGATATAGTAAATAAACTAATAGTAGTTTTCATAACTACGCAGCAAAACTAAAAGGGAATATCCTCTCTGTTAACTAAAAATAGTTATAAACTATAGTATTAAGTTGGAATATGAGTACATTACCGAGTAAAAAGATGTTAAAAGTAAAAATTATGTTAAAACGGTAAGAAAAAAAATCATATTACTATTATTTGTAAATGACTTTCACTTTCCTCGATCAAGTTTACAAATTCAAAAACTTCGAACTTTCAGAAATAGTAACATTTTTATTAAATTTTTAACAGTATTTGTCTTCCCGCGTAGTTACTTTTTTTTTTAACCGTTAAAGCAGCATTTTGTATAGGATAAGTATATTAAGCTTGCCCCCTATAAAGGCACTGAGACAGATATTGCGGAGTCGCTTTTCAGTTTGTAACCTAGCCCTGTCCCTAAAATTCTAATACAGGATGCATGTCTATGTATCTGGGAGCGCTGTACACCCCGCTTTCGCCGAAGATAAAGTTGTTAAGAAGGCCTTAGTCTGAAACGACTTAAAGCCTTTTTATTAATAACAACTACTATCTCTTTTTAGTGTTTGAGGCGTTCAACCTACGAACCCTGGTTAGAATTGTTTGTAGCCTCCACACTCTATACACTACACACTATCATTCCAAAATGGTTGTGTTTAGAATTTTTCGTGAAAAATTCTAGAATACTTTAATTAATAATTGGTAATATCGATCCCTTTATATATATAAGTTTAGACTATGACCTATTCACTGTATTTGTAATAGAGGAGTTGCTTTCTTACTTAAGTCCTTTCTGCTTTTTAAAGTTTGAGTGCCAACTGGAACAATTTTGCACGTGACTTCCCTAGATACAAAATTATTTCAGTCTTCATACGAAAAATTTATGGTCACTCCATCATAGGGGTTATTTTAAGCATTCGAAGGAATATAAAAAATAGCCTATTTGAGGTCTTAGTTTAATAATGCGTTAACTCTCGTCGATAAAGAAAATGATGTAAAATGCCCTTTTTACATCAAGGCAAGCCCTATATTTAGATCACTCGTGAATCAAGTGTCAGTAAGAACCAATATCTCGGATCAGAGCTCAATATAAGAAAACTCGGATGTAGCCAGACTTGTGCGGCAAGTGGCATCGAGTGCACTTAACTCTGCACAGAAAGCTTCAAAACTCATGAAACAACATCAAATAGACCAGTTTCGAGATCGACCGTATCGAGAGCATTGCAGTCTGCTGGTCTCCACGGGAAAAAAAATTATAAACCCACTTTGACAGACCGTCACAAGAGACTGGGATTTGAGTTTGCGAAGAAGTACGAAAATTGGTCTATTCTGACTGGGAAAAAGTAATTTTTTCGAGAGAGACTATGATTAATCGATACGGTTCAGATACTAATACATGGTGTTGGAAGCGATCAGGCGATGGTTGAATACAATTACCAGATGGCGCAAATGTATAAATATGGAGGAGGATCGATAATGATATGGTCCTGTATAACATCTAAGGAGGTCGGGTGTGTGGAATAATTAACAGGGAGCAGCACCTCAATATCGTATTTAGAGATTATTAAGAATGACTACCAAGAACTTGCGGTTGGCTGGTCTTGTCATTGATGAAATGGCTTTTCAACAGGATAACTCCCATGTCGCACACATGGCCCCAATTACTGTCGTTCAAATGCTAAACTGATCTCTACAATTACCTGATCTTCATCCCGTTAAGCATGCATAAGAAATTTTGAAGAGGAGATTAGGAATCAGCACCTTATAACTTGTACGAGCTTTGAACACGTGCACAATCGGAATGGGAAAATATAACACCCCGATCAACGCTAAAACTTGGGTGCCAGTATGCCAACGAGGATATAAGCAGTTATCCTGGCAAAGGGAGATATATTACTAAATTAAATTTTTCTACTCGCAAATTTGTTTTCGTGATCTTTCTACTTTACGGGTTTATATCTTTTCGAATATTAAACCAACTTAAGATCAAGTATTAACAAAATGTAGCT